ATGTTCATTCTAAGAGATGGTATTCCTTTAAAAATATTATCAGTAGGTAAACTTTACAACTTGTGTTGGGTCAAAGTCTGATGGGCTTTGACGTAACCAAAACACAAATATTTTGTGTTACTGACCGGCAAGGACGTTCAAAAGTACACATAAATCATTCTTTATCGCATTTTTTCTTCTTTCAATTAATTATTTATAGCTATAGAGGTTTCAATTAATTATTTCATCATAGCTATAGAGGTTTCTCTCAACTAATTCTTTATAGCTATAGAGGTTTCTCTCAACTAATTCCTTTTAGCTATAGAGGTTTCTCTCAACTAATTCTTTATAGCTATAGAGGTTTCTATCAACTAGTTCCTTATAGCTATAGAGGTTTCTCTCAACTAATTCTTTATAGCTATAGAGGTTTCTATCAACTAGTTCCTTATAGCTATAGAGGTTTCTCTCAACTAATTCTTTATAGCTATAGAGGTTTCTATCAACTAATTCTTTATAGCTATAGAGGTTTCCATCAATTAATTCCTTATAGCTATAGAGCTTTCTCTCAATTGATGATTTGTTTATAGCTATATATTATTAATTATATCATTATAGCTATATTGTCAATTATACCATGATAGCTATAAATTACTTCTTTATATCTATAGATGTTTCTATCAATTATTTCTTTATAGCCATGGAGGTTAGTAAACTATAGATGTTTCTATCAATTAATTCCTTATAGCTATAGAGGTTTCTATCAATTAATTCCTTATAGCCATGGAGGTTTCTATCAATTAATTCTTTATAGCTATAGAAGTTTCTATCAATTAATTCTTTATATCTATAGAGGTTTCTATCAATTAATTCCTTATAGCCATGGAGGTTTCTATCAATTGATTCTTTATAGCTATAGAGGTTTCTATCAATTAATTCTTTATAGCCATAGAGGTTTCTATCAATTAATTCTACAAGCCATGGAGGTTTCTATCAATTATTTCTTTATAGCCATGGAGGTTTCTATCAATTAATTCTTAATAGCTATAGAGGTTTCTATCAATTAATTCTTTATAGCCATAGAGGTTTCTATCAATTAATTCTACAAGCCATGGAGGTTTCTATCAATTATTTCTTTATAGCCATAGAGATTTCTATCAATCAATTCTTTATATCTATAGAGGTTTCTATCAATTAATTCTTTATAGCCATAGAGGTTTCTATCAATCAATTCTTTATAGCTATAGAGGTTTCTATCATTTATTTCTGTATAACCATAGAGGTTTCTATCAATTGATTCTTTATAGCCATGGAGGTTTCTATCAATTATTTCTTTATAGCCATGGAGGTTTCTATCAATTAATTCTTTATAACTGTGGAGGTTTCTATCAATTAATTCTTTATAGCTATAGAGGTTTCTAGAGGTTTCTATCAATTAATTCTTTACAGCTATATTGTCAAATATTTCTTTATAGCCATAGAGGTTTCTATCAATTAATTCTTTATAGCTATAGAGGTTTCTATCAATTATTTCTTTATATCCATAGAGGTTTCTATTAATTAATTCTTTATATCTATAGAGGTTTCTATTAATTATTCTTTATAGCCATGGAGGTTTCTATCAATTATTTCTTTATATCTATAGAGGTTTCTATTAATTATTTCTTTATATCTATATAGGTTTCTATTAATTATTTCTTTATATCTATAGAGGTTTCTATCAATTAATTCTTTATAGCCATGGAGGTTTCTATCAATTATTTCTTTATATCTATAGAGGTTTCTATTAATTATTTCTTTATATCTATAGAGGTTTCTATTAATTATTTCTTTATGGCCATGGAGGTTTCTATCAATTATTTCTTTATATCTATAGAGGTTTCTATCAATTATTTCTATATAACCATAGAAGTTTCTATCAATTATTTCTATATAACCATTGAGGTTTCTATCAATTAATTCTTTATATCTATAGAGGTTTCTATCAACTATTTCTGTATAACCATAGAGGTTTCTATTAATTATTTCTTTATAGCCATGGAGGTTTCTATCAATTATTTCTTTATAGCCATGGAGGTTTCTATCAATTATCTCTTTATATAGCCATTGAGGTTTCTATCAATTATTTCTTTATAGCCATGGATGTTTCTATCAATTATTTCTTTATATAGCCATTGAGGTTTCTATCAATTATTTCTTTATAGCCATTGAGGTTTCTATTAATTATTTCTTTATAGCCATGGAGGTTTCTATCAATTATTTCTTTATAGCCATGGAGGTTTCTATTAATTATTTCTTTATAGGCATGGAGGTTTCTATCAATTATTTCTTTATAGCTATGGAGGTTTCTATCAATTATTTCTTTATATAGCCATTGAGGTTTCTATCAATTATTTCTTTATAGCCATGGAGGTTAGTAAACTATAGATGTTTCTATCAATTAATTCTATATAGCTATAATATAGAGGTTTCTATCACATTTTACTTCAATTAATAAGTTTTCCTATATTTGTAGTATCAAATTCAATGAATATTCTAATTCCGTTTGATAATTCGATTATGAAGTTTTTCTACTGTGAAATGTGAATACTACAAAATATTTGTACAATTTGAATATTTATGAAAAACAATATTTCTTCTGTTAGATATTGCTCCTATTAAATATTTCTTATATTTATATTACTTCTTTTGAATATTTATGAAAAAAAAACAATATTTCTTTTGTGATATTTATTCAAGATGAGATAAAGAATTATTATTATTAGGCTTAAGTGTTGTCATTTTTGTTCTGCTAAATTCTGATATAGTCTGGATAATGTATAGTAGTTAGTATTTATTATATTGTAGCCCTGGGGTTTTCATCCGAGGGTTGAAATTTTGGGGGGTTAATGAAGTTCTTTGTAGTCTTTTTGTCAATTGTAATTGATGTCGTTCTTTTGACTATATTCTTTATGTAGACTAATATTTTGTGAATGTGATCCCTTGAATTTCACATATTTCGTCAGCCCTTCAAAATGGGCGTAATGGTAAAGGTGTGTCAACCTTATCAGACGGTTCAAATATCGTGTCTTTTTTTAGGCGGTAATGCCTTCCATTAAAATTACACCCAGTTTCTGACCATTGGCAAATAAATTTATTTTAGACGATTTGTCAGTTTAAAGGGATACTGGCTAAGAATTCCATATATATTTCCTTATTGAATGATTAGCAAAACATAAAAATTCTTCAAGTTTTCAAGTTACGATCATTCGTATTTGTTAGATAGTGATGAGAACATAGTCCCAAAAAGCACTGGCTTAGGTCACAATTGACAAGTATAGATTTATGCTTAAACAAGATGCCTGAACTAATCATTGATCATATCATCTAGTACCAAATCCAGGTGTTGTGAAATGGTTGAATTGTCAAATTAGAAATAAAAGAAAACAAGAATAGGGGATATGGAATAAAATATCAATCTCAAAATTGGCACATAATTAAATCCCTAAAAGATCAGAAATAACATCAAATCGAATGGACAGCCCTTTAAAAACAGAAGTTAAAAGTTACTTTGATTAAATTGTGGTTGACAACGTACTGATGTTAGGAATTTGGACATCAGACTTTTCATATAAATATCAATACAACCATAGATCATTATAATCTTCATAAATCATAGCAGATATCTTTTCCAGTATATTTACGACGTAAATCTTTCAATTTTTTTATGCTCAACTTATATAAGGATGCATTTTAATTGGATATTCTGTGCTACTGTTGTATTGTGTTTTGAACTAGTCGGTAAGCGGTTTAACTTATTCTTTTAAAATTGTAATTTAAGTGTTCGTAAATTAAGTGTGCTGATAAATTCTTTGATGTTTTTTATATAATGTGTAAGATTCTATTTTGTCTGATTACAAAAAATCGTAATTTTATTTATTGTTTTCAAACAGTCATCAAGAATAGAATTGCAGACATATGCAATATGCAAATATGTATGCATAATAGAATATCTTTATGATTAAAGATGTTAGCTAGCTATGATAGTTAGTTTTCAACCTTAAATATGTTAACAGTGATTACTATTATATTGCTTAACAAATCTTTTATTATGATTTCTGCAGGAACTGCGGTGCTTCAGAATTCCAGATCAAAAGAGAAACATCACAGTAAGTTCATTTAAGGAATAATTTGCTTTACTAGTCGATGGAACCAAATTTGAGAACATCATTTATAATAATATTCTGATGTATAGTTGTATGCCACAATTGATTAAAATGATCTGATATACACAAATGTATCCCAGTATAATAAAGACTACAATTTTGAGTAGTGTAGCTAGAAATTACAGACAACTTTATCTCTTGGTCCCCATTGTTAGATCTTCACAATCTAGTAATTTTATCTCCAGTTTCAACAAGAGTAAGAATTACCTTCATTCTTGAGAATTAGGTGCATTTTTTCATAATAACTATCATAATCATTAAGGGTTAAAAGAAATTGAATGATTACTATCATTTTTCACAAAATTTCTATAAAAAGAATAACTTTTTTAGTTTAAGAATACTATAATGTTTCGGAATATTTCAATATCGGTAATTTTTCTGATTTTGCTATGTTCGTAGCTTAATCAAAAAATAAAATCAAAGGTTAAAACGTTAACTTCAGATCCTTCCAAAAAGCCGGACGCAAGAGAAAAAACATCAGAAAATAGAGATACAAAGTCACAGGAAGACTTCAGGTGGTACTATTACCCGAGACATAGCTCCGGGAGAAGTTACGAGGAAGTCCGTAATTATTTCAACAAATACAGAAAAATACAAGAGTATCTGAGACGATGGCAGCACGCACAACCTTTTAATTCCTGGAATTCGAGGTTTTGGACGCCAAGACCAACAATCAGAGAAGTGACAGCATCAACAGCCAGACCAACGACAACTCGAATACCAAAACTCTCCTTTGAAGAGTGGTTGGACGGATGGGAAGAGGAGCAAGAGCAATTAGAATGTGGTTTACAAGAAATTGAACCTAGACTTATCGATCTAAGGATTGTTGGCGGTACGACTGCCATCAGAGGCAGCTGGCCATGGATGGTAAGTAAATAGTATATTGACGTGTGGTGTTATTAAATAGTATCATTATGTAATGGTAATATTATTATGAGTGGCTCACATATAATCATATAATATAATATATGGCCCAATGCAATATAATTTTGTGGGTTATCAATGTTTATATGTGTAAAAATGAAGGCTGTCCTATTATAGGACTCTTATACTCACAATACAGGGGAAAAGGCAATTGAATTGAATGTACTAGGGCGAGCTCACTGGGTACCATCCACATAAAAAATATTTTGTTGAAGTCGTTGTACGATCTTTCTGTTGACCATTATCCCTTGATCTGCTTTAGGTTTCCATGAAACTAGCTGGACAACATTGGTGTGGTGGAGTTCTCATATCCAAACAATGGATAGTCTCATCAGCTCATTGTATGTTGTAAGTATTAAAACTGTCTATGTGCAGGTTTACTGGTGTTCAATATGTGACTCTTTCCAAATCTTTCTAGTGGTCACGAAAAAACAAGGTTGTTTTCTGTCCAGTTCCCTATATTCTCCTTCACCCTATTAATTGTAAATGAACTGGATCGCATAGGACTCACAAAATAAAAAAATAGCTTTCGGGGGTCATTAATTTCAAAGCGTGCGATGAAATGATATAATTTCGTGTATATTAAATCACAAACATTCCTGTAAAGGTTTAATGTTTTATTCATTCAAACCAATGCATCTACCATGTCATAATGGCGTCTTTAGCCAAAAAGCAGTAGGAAGGACTGACTCTTTGATTTAATTTATCATTTTCTTTTCAGATTTATGCCAGGATATGATAATCCACAGTTGTGGGAGATCAGATTGGGTAGATTTAATCCTGGATTCAATATAACAGAACCTGAAAGTGAACAGAGATTCAATATATCTGGTGCACCGATATTTTATGACAATATTAATATCAAACAAATTTATTCTGGAAAACCGTTTGACAATGATTTAGTTCTCTTAAAACTGGACAAACCAGTTGAAATCACCAAATATGTGAAACCGATCTGTTTACCCAAGAAGAGAGAAGATTCAGAGAGTGGCACTCGATGTGTTATCACGGGGTATGGACAAATTGCTCGTAAGTTTCTTTTCCCTAAGAATTAATGCTGCACTGGCTTCTTGGGGAGATATTATTCAGCTTCCAAGCTAGCGACATATCTATTAACCATACAAGATAATTTTTTGTTTTGCTGATCAGGATATTAATCTGTGGAGTGTGGACTCTCGCGGTCATAGTTTCCCATACTATCATGCAGAACCAGTCCTCCTGTAACTGACACAATATTTGCCTCTGAGGATTGATGCTCGAGTTTGGACGAATCTCACAATGGTGAAACGAGATTCCACCTTTTGGCATTGCCTTTTCGTGCGATTGTTTCTTGAAATTTTAGAAGCGAACTTCAAAATATTAACCATGTCCATTGCAAGATTTTTGACGCTGGAATTCTCTTATAAATCTTATCACACATGTTTAATCTTTATACCATGACAGCTAATGTTGGGATACCAGTGAAGCTGAAACAAGCTATAGTACCTATAGTGGACTATGATAAATGCCATAAGTTACAAGGTTATGATGAGTTTTTAACACCCAGAATGCTCTGTGCTGGATATGAATATGGTGGAGTTGATGCCTGTAAGGTACGTAGTTTAAAAGACCCCTAGATTCCTAGACTATAATGTTAGAACTGGAAGCAGTTTATCAGTTTCTCCGATCTCTGGTATCTAAACCAATGCAGGGTTGGTACACCTGTCTTCCTACCTGAGTCATCGCTGCAGGCAACGTATGGTGATCGGAGGAATTGCGAAGTGCGAATACACGAGATACACGTCCGGACCAGCTGCGGACATCAACGATTTCGTCAATTTTCTATTGTAATCCCACGACGGACTTCACCTCGTCTATTCTGAAAACATTATTGTAAATTGTTACTGTAGTGTAGATGGCGACGTTGATGTAAATCTTGATGATTAATGTTTTATTTTACAGCTGGACAGTGGTGGTCCATTACAATGTTTCAGTAGAGATCGGTGGATATTAACTGGTAAGGTCTATTTTGTTCTTTGAAAATGCTGATCTATTCGTGACTGCGAAAGCTGCAGCGCTCTTTAATTTGACCTACTTGTGAAGAATAGTCAAATAAAACAATAACAAAAATGCGTATTTAACAGATAAACAAAATAAACATATTTTGGGCAGGATCCAAAAAATACATGTGTTTGCTTCCACTAAAGACTAAAAACGTACGAATATGACTCTTCCATATTTAATAAACCTTCAAGAATAATTAGAATCGAAGCTGTTGAAGTGACACTGTCATTATTTTTTCAGGAATAACATCTTGGGGTGATGGAGGTGGAGAAAGCTGTGCTGAACCTTTAAAACCAGGTGTATATACAAGAATTACCAGCTATGTACACTGGATACAAACTATGTTATATAAAGACTATGTTCACTACAATAGAATACCCTGAACATTTTAATAACGTGAATAAATATTTCCCGGTTTGAGATCCAACAATATTTCTGTTGGTTGATAAGCTAAGAAAAAGTACAACAAATTTTCTCAAAAAATAGATATTTTAATATTTTACTTTCGATATAAAACATTTAAGGATTGTTTACGATGTATTATTCTCAAATGTTAGCAGATTGAGAACTCCACACTATAAGTCATCTTGAGCATATAATTTCCACCTTGAGACAGTTGCAAATCTATAATCCTCAAATCTACTTTGTGCCAGAAATGTCATTATTCGGTAACAGAACGTGTGATATACTGATTCAGTATGTAGGGTTCAGAATGCAGAATCATTTTCCTACAATATTTGTTCCTCCAAGTGTAGTGACTAGCTATTGTTTTACATTAAAGGCAAGATAACCGGATTGACTCATGACCCTTGTGATCTCAAGATGGCTCTCACTATTTGGGCATTTAGCTTTATTATCATGGCTCAAAATAGTTCGCTTTATAAGTCTTAAATATAAGTTACTTTACCCATAGAATGATACGACATTATCTTTCTTCAAAACAACTTGTGGTGTAATAAATTAGTAAACCCAACAACACAATTTAAAATGCTCAATAATTAGAATACAGATGTTTGTGAATTTGAAACCACATCTTCCTAATAACCGTTCAGAGCATCGTATTTGTGGGGTTACTTACAGCAAATATATATAACACTAAAAATTAAGAACTATATAGTGTACATTTACAAATTTGATCAAGAATGTGAATCTGTTTTGCCTTTTTTACTCTGTACCTGAATATGTGGATGTGGATGAATGTAAAAACACTTGTATATTTAATCTGAAAGGAATCTCTATCGTAAATTCACACAAATGTACTTTTCTCTATATATCTTTGCTTATCAAGCTGATGATAAGCGTTGATTTCAGTTAACCATAGCAATTTTACTTATGGTAGTAAGGATCTGATAACATACCATCATGAAAATCATATGTTAGGTCAATTTACGGCGATATCATATGGTACATGTCTATTGAAACATTCAGTGTCAAATTCGTCCCTTATGAATATTCAATGAAGTTGACAGTTTACTAGAGTTCTGATTTTCCCATTGGAAAAAGCTACAGTCTGGTCTGGTGCCACAGGAAAAGAAAAATCTTCCTATATTTGGACCAGGTTTTTGAACCATTCTACGCTTAGATCGTTTTCCACAGTTACACAATGGTGCTGTAGCCTTCAGCTCTGGCAAGCTTCGACTTCTAGAATGACCTGAAGAACCAAACTTTAATGTTGATTGATGACTTGTGGTACTAGAGTTGAATTTAGCACACGTGACACTTGAGTTAGTCTTATAATCTACAGATTTCGATTTTTGTAAATAGGCATTGCACTTAAAATTTCGTTTCTGGAATGATGCAGTATTAGATTTCAATTCAGGATTACTAGTTTGTTTTTGTAATATGACACTTTTGGAAGTTGATAGTTCATAAGGAAAACCTTGTGTAAGTGGTTTGTTTGACAATTGATTAGAGTTTATTAATCTTGCTGGATTAACTGTTTTGGTTTCAGCTCTTGTGCTATGAATTTTTGAAGTAGATTTATTTGTCGTTCCATTTCTTACACTATTAGTCATTGGAAATATATTTTCAATATCAATCTTGCCTAAGTTACTTCCTTTGTTCACACTGGATAAAGCATTGAAAGTTTGGGGATTATTCAATGAAGTAAATGATTGTCCTTTGCTTTTTAGATTCATATTCATCACATTTGACATATTTGTGTGACTAGTCAAAGACTTCTGAAAGTTTGATATGTCTTGGAGCTTTGCTGACTTTTCTGGAATATCAGACAAATTTGGCATTTGTTCATGTTTCCTCTTAACTGTCTCTGTGCACACTTGGAAATATCTATTAAGGTTTGTATTGCTAGATCCATCATTCTGTAATATAAATAACAACAATAAATTTAAAACTTGAAAATAATTTTATCATATCAAAAAATTTGGTTTTTAATATACATATTATTATCACAATTTTAGCAGCACTTTAATCACAATTATTTTACAGTACTTTTGACAATTTGAAAGACATGTAGGACCACAAAACCAGGTGCACCAGCTCCACTCCTGATAAGAACTCTAGTTAAATCATCTCACCGGATTTAAAGATCTAGTAATATTCATTATACAACCATCTTGTACCATTCTCCAAGCCAGATGAGCAGTATTTCTTGAGTCATGCAAACCTGAAATAATATTGTAAGCACATGACACATGCCAACATTTAGATGGACTTTGTTCCCATTACTTATCAAAGTTTATGGTTCTTTATGCAAGGCGTTAAATAACAAAAAAAGTTTTTAATTGAAAATAAGTCAAATTTCAAGAAATGTTGAAAAACAAAGAATTTTATAGGTAGATGTATTCAAATTATGTTGGTGTTTTCTGAACACAAATAAAATAGCTATAAATAGCAAGCACATGAAAAAAACAAACCTGAATGTTCTCTGCCTTCAAATTGAATTCCAACATCTTGTAAGGCTCCATTTAATCCATTTGGTTTTCTCTTGTAAAATTTCTAAAAAAAAAACAATTCTTATAAAAAAAAATAGCATATATAAAAAATATGACCCTCTTGTATTAATAACATATTCAATAATTTTTAAAGGCACACAGAGAGAATTTGGTGCACGCTAATAGCGCATGCTGCTTTCTCACCACACTACTCCCCGTACACTACGAGCCTTTCCCTCAGCTATATCTGATCAATCAAAATGGCGGACTACCACAGTGATAGTTCAAGCGATGACGAAGAGGAGGGAATGCAGTTGTTATTATTGTTATTATTATGTTGTAGAAGATCCGATATTATAAAGACAAGAGGTAATCTTGCCATAATTCAACAAATTTATCCTCAAGGATTGCTTCTGTCACTACTTCACTTGGCGCTGCCATCTTTGATTACCAATAACGCATGCACATTGTGTCCTTCGTCTAAGAAAGTTGCTCACGGTTACCCGCAGTCCACACAAGGTGTGCCATCGGCCACGAGTGGTCAAAAAAATAAAACACGATAGATATTTCCCACATGACCTACAGTGGCCAAATGCACACTAAAAATTTCCCGCGCACGAAGCGCACGAAGCGCACGAAGCGCTACTAGTCGAGCGTAATTGGCGCTGCGCCATTTTCTCTCTATGTGCGGGCGCTTTTAATAACATTATAAGTTCTACAATAATTATAGAAATAAAACCTACCCTGTATGTAGATCTAAGATCAATCCAATTATTCAATTGATAAGGTGTTCGAATCTGTTTCCTTCTGGCTTCGTATAGTAAACATACACTCAAATCCCAATCTACAATATCATTACCACTTAATTCAATTACATTTATTTTGAATTTTATTATCTACTTAATCGTTAAAGCAATTTGGATTGGTGATGAATTTTTTTGGGGGATTAAGTGAACCAGTGTCCCATCTATTTAGGGGGTATGGTTTTATGGATGATAAGCAAAGACCATGGAACAGACAAAACCATGTGTACCAAGTGGATGAAATGGCACTGAACAAAATTGTACTACCTATATTGCATACCTGACCAAGTGACTACAGTAGCAGCTTTGACTCCTGGTGGTACAAAATCAGCATTATTAAACATAATATTCTTCTCTCTTTCTATCTTCTCTAACCAATGGTTGAACTTCTTAATACATAGAGCTAGAGGTATTCCTTCATCTACTTGTTGCTAAAAATAACAATATTACAATCACTCAAAACTACAAGTACATGTTATTGAAGAGCCTACAAACCATCAATCTGGGTACTCATAATCATGATAAATTATGCGTTGTTATAAATCAGAATATTTTAACAACATTTAATATTCTTTGTATTTAATATTATAGAACAATAGAATACAAATCCATATTTCATTTCATTCAGTCTTTGACTAAATAAATAAGGTGAAATAAAGTAATGCCATTTATTTTCAACCATTAAAGTGTGAATATCAACAATTATTTCATTATCTTCAACTGGCTTGTATGAATCGAGGGAAGCTTTTGAGTATAGATGTTGCAGAGGAAATCCAATATTGTTCCAAACAGAATGATCTTTGCCATGGTAAGATTATATTGTTTTCAAGATTTCTGGATCTAAAAGTCTGAATAGGGTAAATACAATATATAGGAAACCCTACACCTACAAAGGTTAAATCAATCCCTTTCTAATTTGTTAATTTTCAGATCACTATTCATATGACTTAGTCAAAACTTAAATAACAAACCTGAGAAATACCAGTGAGCTCCTTACAAAACATACTCAATACAGGTTCTTCTTGTGGCTGTATATAAAACTGAAATTCATCTTCTATTTCACCATTAGACAGATTTAATAATACTGCAGGAAATTCAACTAAAAATAGGAAATTGGTTGTCGATTCTTAGAGAAGAGAAAATCCCTTCAAAGATTTTTCACAGTTATTTTGTTTTTTGTAGGGTTCAAATTACAGTAAAATGTTTCATACGTCCTAGTAGCTGACACTGTTAAATGTTGGATCTAGTACTAGTTTACTTGTGAAATCTATTATATTAAAATACAATCCTTATCTTTCATTATAAACTCATAAAAAATGAGACATTCATTTTAATAGCAATACATCAACATTATCTGAAACATGTCTAGTACCAGTACTAGCTAAGGGATATAAGCTTATATAAACTTACTGATTTCTTGTGTTCTATACTTATCATTTTGCCAACAAGTTGATTCAAAATCCATGATCAATAAATAACTATACTTCTGATCTAGAACAGATGAAAAATACAAATTTATTAATAACCATGAACAAATTCTATGGCTGTTTACATCAAGATTCAATAATTTATTTTAAGCTTTCACAGTGGCACAACTAGATGAGTGGGGCCTGTCCCCCAGGAAATTATTTTTATATATGATCTGCATTCTAAGACCCATCTGTAAGTCAATTTAATGCCTGTTAATGGAAGTTTAAAGTTTTTTATTCTGTAGCTAATGCTATTTCACTCCTTAGATATTTTTTTTCTCCTGGTTGGGGTCTCCTTAGAGGTGGGGACCAGTGGACTTTAATTTGTTCAACCAGTCCCAAACGTAGTTGAGCCACTGAGTTTTCAGCATGGGCCCTACTTAGAAAATTCAAATTAGTAAAGAAGGTTATAAAATATTCTACAATTTGTTGGTTTACCTTCTTTTGGAGATCTCTTTGCAAAATTGTTAACAACTGCCCTGCGCTTAATCAAACCCATTTTTCTAAGGAAAGGAATAAGTAGACATTGTGATATAGTGATGAGAGAATTACATTTTAATAGTTGTATAGTCTTAGTCTATCTCTGTATAAGCATAGTCCAATATCATACTCTAAAAGCTCAAGCTTTTATATCATTTTTTATGTGTCAATAATAAGTAGACACAGGCACATATTTTCTCAATAGTAAGTAAAGATTAATAGAGGCTTACACATGAGCAAAGCGCCATTACACTGCAGTCCAGCACAAAAAATTTGCATAAGTGTAATGGCGTTTTGCTCATGAAAGTTGACTATTTTCCAAAACAAGACAAAAGTGGTTTTTGTCAAGTACTAATTGATTGATTTCTAAAAAAAGTACACCAGAGTCATAAGTAAGCTGTCCTTCATATACACAACTGGTCTGATATCACAGGGATGACAGCAATTTACATACACAACACATTTTTATGTGGATTTGTAACATTCACTTTGTTACTAACAATCAATCTTGATGGTACCCAAGAAGGCCTCTGCTACTGTAGACAAAAATGAAATGTCCTACTTATCTACTCTTTCAGTTTCAATTCAAGCTAGGTAAGTCAAAAGAATCAAGATGAGAGACGGACCAGTCAGAAGAATGAAGAATAACAATAAGCTGATCAGTGCTATACTATATAAAGAGTAAGGATTACTTTGCTAATTGTTTGGTTGCCATTTTGTGTCATTTCACTTTGACGTAGTAAGTTTCAGATATGTTCTTTGTATTTGCTTCTTGAATCTCCGTCTTTATTTTGAAATTCTTAATTTTCCCTCACCGGAAGTAACGCGAGTAGTTTGATTAAAAACAATTTTGAGCCAAGTAACTTGGTCCAATAGACTCTGAAACATTTTGTTATCAGATAACATAATGGCCCACACAGCCTTTTTCTACAAAGACCACTCCTCTGTTACTGAGAGAGCTTGATAGAAAATTACTTCAGAATTGAAGTTTTTTTCGGCTGTTTAAAGACGTCTTACTCGCCACACTTCCGTTTTACTTTTCTACTTCCAATTTATCACAACAACAACACGTGAGTGCACTGTAAATATTCATTATCAAACCACACACATATATTTTAGCATTTTTGACCCATTGTTTTTTTCACCACAATTTCATTTCAGATGCACTACGTTGATATTCATTTTTTGGGGGTTTACCTGCGGATCGGGATAGTTTATTATTCATCTTTCCAGAATTTACTTCGACAGGTTCATCTCATCACGTGTAAGGACATTATCGTATCCAGGTCATTTATGTCATAATGCACAAATATTACTAGCAGTTCTCTTGAAGTACAGTTTAATCTTTGACAATCGTTAGGGACTACTAATGGACATTTGAATTGCAAGGGAATTGGACAATATATATGAAAAGTACAAGTGTAACAATTAGCTGAAACGATTCTTTAAGTTGCGATTCGATACACTATACGATACTCATCCAACGATACGATTTATTGCGATTATTATCGCGATGCATTTATTAGAGAAGGAAAGTTAAAAAAATAGTAGAAATTTGTAAAATTACTAACAAGTTTGTCACTATTAAGCACTTGAGAACATTTAGAAGTAAGGAATTGTGAAAAAAATCTCATGTTTTAAAGTCAGAAATGAATTTTTGCAAATTTTGATGTGAAAATCATACTTGGAAAATGAAAACATGACACACAGGATTCTGTGTCATTTGTTATTAAAGGGGACTAGGAATTAATCGTGCCGATACATCACGATTATTTTTATCCAACGCAATGCATCGATAAGAAGGGAAGAATTAGGATTCATCTGTGAATCGTTGCAGCCCTAGCTGAAATCAATGCCTACCAGCTGGCTCTGATAATCAAGTCTGTGACTTGGTTCAAAAATTATATTTATAACTATTTTCAGAGAAATTATTAAACAAGCCTTATTAAACATATTGAAAAATATGATTCAGTTAAACTAATTGAAGCATGTCCACAAATAAAGAAAAAAGAATATTATCTAAAGTGAAGAAGGTCAGAGCATTTTTGAATGTGGCCAGGTTGAATGAAGAAGATAAGGTATGCTCTCAAGACAAACTATTATGGTAGATGAATGAATTTCCTGTTAAACACTATCATAGAAAAACCATTCATTTGTGTACATCTTTTTGAACAATAATTTGCTTAATGTATTAAACTTATAACGAGTAAAAGTAACGACTGTCAGATATCTGCAAGTTTCCTTAATGTTTAAAGTTGAAGTATGGAATTTTTATTAATGGAAACATTGCTAATTATATGAGATTTCTGATATATGCTTTCTACTTCTTTGTATCTACTTGAATAACCTTTAAGGATGCCATTTAAAAACTATTTAGGTTTGATTTTTTTCCTTTTAGAAAATGAATCTTACAACAAAGAAAAGACCTGCTGATGGAGATGTATTTGAAGAATCACCAAAGAAACAGAAAAACAGTGAAAATGTAATAGACATGAAGAGAGATATAACTGAATTACCATTTCAAATGTTGACTGATGAAGAAAGAATTCAATTGATTGAACTGAAGAAAGCATCTAAAATGGCAGCCATGGTATAAATTTTTTAAAAACATCTTGTAAAATTTGTTATAAATCTTGTTAATTTGCACTTGTGATTTTTGGGTAATGGACAAATTGAATTGTCTGAGGCATTCCACCAGAAACCTTGTTTGTAACAGATATGATTCGTTTTTCAAGCAGTATCAAAAGGTTATTTCATAATAATTGTCATTGATGTCTGCATAACTATCAACAAACTGATTTTAATATAGAGCAGGAAACATCAACTCTTCAACAATGTTTGAAATTTGTTTCTACCGTTCTAGTATGTTAACCTTGTAGTGGGTCCTGAGGTAATAGATATTGCCAATCAACTTGCTACTGCATGTGGTTTGTTTTGTAAACATGAACACATGCCAAAAACTATATGAACAACCCATATTAAAATTTATTGCTTCATACAAATCTATTTAGATAAAGTGAATCATGATCCAATCTATTTATTGATAAGGGGGCATGGTTTAAATGACCATGAGTATGAGAAAGTAACGATTGATTGTTCTATTTGTAGGAAAGATCCAAGATTTATTTAACATTGAAAGAATTAGGTGATGAACTGAAGAAGAGATTATCTAAAATGTCTGCTAACCCTGATGAATGTGAAGTAGAGAAGTTACCAACATTGTATGCTCAGGATCTTCAGTCTCTGATATTATATGCTATAGAGGGAGCTAACTCTAGCTATTACCCAAGGTAACTATATTTCATGTTTATCCTGTTTGCAATGGGTACATGCTTTGCACCCTAGAAATTGAGTAAATCCCAATTTCAAGCAATTATTTTAAAAGTGTTGAATTGTATTACTGGGCTGATGTAAATGTATGATATTCAAATGTCATTATTGATTTGCAAAAGAAAAGAAAGATGCATATTTAAAGTTCTTTTAATTCATGCTCTTTCTGCTATTATTATTTCTGGAGGTGACTCCTGTCGCATCCATGATCTGACAAAATGTTTGTGGATCTCCTGTTCTTGGTTGTGCTCTGTTTAATGAAAGAATTCCTTACTATAATTGAGCAATACTAGGGTATGCATTTTTGAAATTGATTTATATTGTCTAACCACTTTTTACAGAGTTTTTGAATGCCAAAATTATGACAACTCTGAGTAAAAATTCAGCATGAGTGATTCATGAACGATTTTGTCAGATTATTGTAGTAACCCTTAGAAACACAAAATGTTACAGATCTTGAATTCTAATCAGATAAATAATTACATGTTTGTTTCTTATAAGATGGTGTAGGCTACTACGACCTAATAAAATATCTAGTATTGTTGTCATGGTGATAGATGGTGTATCGTTATCAGATGTAAATAAAAATACAGATTGCTTCGATTATTTAACATCTCATATACCACAGGTAAATACATATATCAATACTTTGTAAGAATAACAAATTACTGTTGTTGAAATGGATACAGACAAGTTGCTACAATTGGTGTAAAAAACTGCGCATTATATTCGGAAATATACGGTATTTGACTTATTTGTAATAATTAGTTAGGTTTCAAGGTTTTTGTCACATTTTGACTGTGATTTATCAAATTTACAAACATATTGAAAAAAAATCAAAACATTAGGTTATATTGTGCCTATGAAAGCATTTTCTCTTGGCCCTTTTCAACGAATTGTCATAACAATATACAATGTATTACACTCTTCATGAAAGTATAAAGAAACTAATTACATGTATTTTTATGTCTTTCTTCATTTGTGTCCAATATACTTCTAATTTATTCCAATCTTTTTCCATCTCTTTCAGTATGTTGAAATGAAAAGTCCCTGTAGTTATAATAGTACTGTAGAAAATGAAGTATTTAAAGTTAGACTATCAGAATCTCAGTGGCATCATAAAGTTAGATGTAAGGGTTTAGTCATAACAAGTCATATATACAGTATTGTCAAAATTTCATATCCCACTCATTACATGGCCATTTAGCAGTGAATGTATTGGACACATTTTTGTTAGTGAAAATTTAAAATTGGCTGGACTCTTAGAAGATAGTCCAGATGATTGAAAAGTAACATCTCAAAAGCAGCAACATGTATGACGATTTTTCAAAAGAAATGTTTGTATTTCAATCTGTATCCATATTTTAGCTGGTAGTGTAAATGAAATTCAAACTAATGGTGAACAAGAAAGGTTATTATCTGATGTTGTACCAACTGATACTACTGATAAATTTGATAGAAGATTATTATTGTTAAATCTTAAAGATATGTTACATGATGGCTTCCCCCTACCTATCGTTAAAAATGGTAAATATTTAATTTCCTATTAATTCATACTTTGAACAGCCAACAAGCTGAGAAAAATCAAGATAGCAATCATGAAATTAATCCAAAAGCTGAAAATTAAGGGATGCGCACTATATGCTAATCCTCAAATATTATATTTTAAATATTATGCTCATCAAAACAAATTGATATAGAGGAAATTTTAATAATTTGTTAAATTGGAACAAAGGAATTTAACCAATTAAAAAGAAGGTCCTTTCAAAGTTGTTCTATAATATCATGTTCATTAATTATAGTTTAATTTTAGGTCAGTGTGTTTATCCCAATTTTAAATTTACTAAAGAAAGATATACACCTGTTACAGCTAATAGCCCCATATTTTCTGTTGACTGTGAAATGGTAGGTTTTTATCTGATTAAAATGCTTAACTGGATAAATTGTTTAGTGATTTTTCTGCAGATCCATGATCTAACAAGATTCTTTTTTACATCATGTTCTGTGGAATTTTGACTAGCTTCAAAAGTTGTCATGATTTATGCCAGTAAATTAGACACTGTAGAAAATACGTTATATTTGATGATGCTTAAACATTTAATGTTTCTTATCATATAGTAAGGATATCATTAGTTGATCAGAGCATTTGATTGGTTGAATATTATTAATAAACCCAGAACAGGAGATGGTTAACAATTATTGATTGCAAGTGGAGTTACATACTGGAAAAGCTTGTAACAAAACATTGTATTTTTATCAGTTTGTATTTTTATGGCACCAAATAATATCCCCCTTTTGTAATTGTTTTAGGATATTAATTGATAACTGCGAAGAACAAAAATTGTTTTAATCTACCAAAATAAATATATTTGTTTGTTTAAAAACTTTATGCACCTTTTAAAGTTTTTGATTGTATTGATTATGAAAGAGTAATTTGTAATTTGTAATTTGTAATCATTGAATTCAGCATCTTATTTACTGCCTTTCATTGTTAAATAACATGTTTTCAGTGTAGAAGTAAAGTTGGTAGAGAGTTATCTAGGATATCTGTAGTCAATGAAAAATGTGAAGTACTAATGGATAGATTAGTTAAACCAGCATATGCTGTCATAGACTATGCTACAAGGTAATGCTATAAAAGACTATGCTACAAGATAATGCTATTATAGACTATGCTACAGGGTAATGTTAATATAGACTATGCTACAAGGTAATGCTATTGTAGACTGTGTTACAAGGTAATGCTATTGTAGACTGTGCTACAAGGTAATGTTATTATAGACTGTGCTACAGGGTAATGCTATAATAGACTGTGCTACAAGGTAATGCTATAATAGACTGCTAAAAAGTAATGTTATAATAGACTATACTACAAGGTAATGCTATAATAGACTATGCTACAAGGTAATGTTATTGTAGACTATGCTACAAGGTAATGCTATTATAGACTATGCTACAAGGTAATGCTATTGTAGACTGTGCTACAAGGTAATGCTGTAATAGACTTGCTACAAGGTAATGCTATTATAGACTATGCTACAAGGTAATACTATAATAGACTATGCTACAAGGTATAGTTATTATAGACTATGCTACAAGGTAATGCTATTATTGATTATGCTTATTTCCCAAATGTTTATGTCAGATTTAGTGGTATAACAGAGGAAATGTTACGGAATGTAAAAACAAGACTAGTTGATGTACAACGTGAATTTAGTAACCTTCTCCCTCCAGATGCTATATTAGTTGGTCATTCTCTAGATAATGATTTAATTGTATTAAAGGTAGGTGCAATTCCTGAACTTAAGGTGCTATATAATAGCCTTCATCCTTGTCTTTTAGACCACATTTCTTGAACACAATTTTTGTCCTTGTAATTCATTCTAGAAAAGAGGTAAAACATCGCACAAATATCAAATGCTCCATTTTGTTTTTATTTGAGATCCCAGTTATTTGATGTTGGAATAACCATTAAAACTGGGTTGTGATTGATTTGTCAGATACTCACTTTTAAACTACTGTAAAATTTTAATAATATAGACACATGGCCCAGAAAGCAGTATGTCTGGTTAGGCTCTTTTAATCTTTCCTTTTATTCTATGTCTGATTTCTATTTTCAGATGTTTCATCCCTACTGTATAGATACTAGTGTTATATATAATCTGGGTAAAAAAGATTATAAATCAGGATTAAGTACATTAACAAGATGTTTTCTCAAGTAAGTTTCACTTTGTTTATACAAGGCTGATAATCATAATGGAATGGAAAATTGTCTTTATAGAGCTTTATCTAACTCTTTGATTGATGCCTTATAGGAGAAGGATAATATTTGATTATACAGTCATAAACTGCACTAAAATATTGTGATGTCTCATGAAAAGACAACTAGTCAATGTAACCTTAATTCTGTATGACTATGGATACAAATGGATATCATGAGTGTGTGTCAATGAAATGATCAATGATGATCTATAAAGAACTGGGCACTTTGGATTCATTTAAACTTAATAATCCTGATAATTTTAGGAAGAATATACAGTTAGATGTATCTGGTCATTCACCTATAGAAGATTCTATAGCTACCATGGAGTTAACACTTTTAAAACTCAGAACAGGTAAGTATTCATTACTTATAGTATAAACTTTCTTAATATTCATTAATAATTTTACAATGTTTTTCAAGAAATATACAACCACATCTATATATTCAAATTCTCTATCCATTTGATGTTCATTCTTCTCACATCTAAATAAACGTTCTAAAAACAGTTTGTATCTGATTTTGATTGCATTTTGATTATTGATCCCTTCATCTGATAATATGTAAGATTGTACATGACTTTGCAATGTTAGTTAAAGCAGTAAGAAAAATCTCCTGACATTGTAAAAACTGTAATTGGTGTTACTTTATTTCATATAGGTGTAGAATTTGGTGATATGTTATCAGGCTGTGCCATGACAACCAATAATATAACTCAACCTTCTTTACCTCCAAACTCTTCATCATCATCAGCATCACTACCATCTACAGATACAACACACTTTCAGTCCTTATTTCAGATATCAACTAAAGCTAAAAAACAAAGTAAGACAACTCTATTCTCTTGTGTTTTTTTTTTATCATACTAATCTTTATGAAAAGATTTGAAGATGACCCCTCATATCAGATATTGGTTGACAAGATGATTCAGCGAGGTTCTTCTCTTCCAATAAGGAATGAGTTGAAGTTAAAGTGCCTAGCAGCCTAGTTGATAGTAAGATATGTGGATGAACTATTTCAGACTTTAATTCACTCATACAAGCAGTGTATACAAATAAATAACTTAGTAACTACAATCAGATTTCATTTGTCTTAATTATTGTCCTGAAGGCAAGTAAATGCCATGAAACCCTGAGATCAATCAGTCATGGAAGAATATACATATATTTGAAAGATGTATTAGACTATACAAGGCTGTTGGTAAATCATATATCTTAAACAAGCTAGCAACATGTTTCAATGCATTTAAAGTGTATAGTGTATGACACGAAATTCCAATAGTATTTTCGGTTTATTGTAGGTGTTGTCATCAGTAGTGGAGAAATAGTCAAAATGCCAGTGGTTACTAAAACAACAATATTAGCACAGTCTGATCAGGATTGTGTCAAACAAGCTGTGAAAGAATTTAATTCTGATAAACAATTTATCTGGTTAAATCTTCAAGATTGTTTACAAAATAAAGCCAAGCTGAAGTCAGTTGCTTATAGAAAGGTAGGTCATGATGACGTTCTGTATTTCCCTTGTCCATTTAAAAAGATTTTTGATTATGAATTTAAACCGCACACTTTTTAAACCTCTTACTTTTGCTACATCCATTTCCTATCAAAGAAATTTTACCACACCATTGCAGAGGTGGAATTATATCTGGACATATGTCTTGGATTTCTGAAAGCATTTTTTTTAAACATGAAACATCAGATAGGAAAGTGGAACGGGAGAAATAAAGGTTAAAAATGTCCTAAATTAAACATAAATAGGCTGGAATACCTGTTTACTTTGTGTAATTTGTCTCAAATCTTTTTGAAAGGCATTTAGAACCTCAAAGAGTACAGCAAATACATACTGGTATTTAAATTGTAAAATATTCTCTTATTCTGTATGATACTAGGAGAAGTTTGAAGAATTAGATGCCTCAATAAAAGAGATAAAAGAATCCTGTCGTCCTGGAAGCCTGTTTATAACGGTATTCAGTGGTAAAGTGAGAAAGAAGAAATCTGAATCAGCTGGTGTTTATGTCTGTATTACTTGATCACTCAGTGTGGTTTAAAACTGTTGAAGACCGTGTGATTTTGATAAATCTGGTGTAATTTTAAGATCTTAATGCAAATATATGACCACTCTTATTTTATAAATGTGAAAAATTTTGATTAACATGTTGTTTGAGTCATGGCCAAGCAGAAACCAATCTGAAACACTGGAACTAGAATAAATACTGGATAATACCATTGCATCTGTATGACCATTTTGTGAGTGGGAACTATCTTAAACAAGTAGTTGATCCATGGACAAGCAGTTAACCCTCATAAACACTGTAATGTGATACAATATGAATGAGTGGGTATAGGTTATAGTGATGGTAGACATGGTAAGATTTTATCAGCCACAGTCTAGTGAGAATTCCTGATAAATCTCTAGATCTGAAGAGGATATTGTGGAGTTACAGCCATTAAAAGTTGTAATGAAATGAATGTAATGAAAGAGTGACATCTATATTATTGAATAAAAAGCTGTCATAATATTTTTCAATACAGTTATTTTTTCAATCTTATTGAGAAACTTTTGCTGACCATATTTATTGCAGTCTTTCAATCACCAATGCACATGAATGTGGTATCAAAGCATGTGGTTCCAATTTGCTATTTAATCAGAGTTCTCAAAATCTTCCAACAAGGTTTCCTTCAGATCACAATACACATGACCAAATAACAAATAATGACAGTTGATTAAGAAAAGAGAGCTTGCAAGTCAAAGAGCCATATACTCATGACAGCAGTTAAGACACAAATTATGTTCTTCGTGGTTCAAAACTCATAAATTTTTAACTTTTAACTCTTCCAGATCAAAAGGAAATCAAGCTGATTTTAATGTTTTTTGGAATAATAAAGAACAATAACTCTAGTTGTCCATTGTACCAGTTCCAATCAGATGAAAACTGATGTTTCTTCTCCTACAAAAAGTTAAATGGACAGAAGGACAAACATTTTTAAGTGGGCACATAAAAATAAACAACTGGCATTTCATAATTTATTTTCTTTTTCATATGGACTGTACATGATAACAAATAATAATAATGTGTTTATAGATGAGGAATATTACTGACTTTCCTTGTAACTGATTAAATCAATTCAAGCGATTATTAAAAAAATATTTTAGAGCAATTTTGGTAATGAAAAAAAAAATCCCACATATAAAACTTGGTTATGTTTCAAACTTCTTATGAAGCAACTATCAAATTAATGTTGCAAGCTGACATGAAGGGCCAGTTGTCTTAAGATACATGGAAAGTCAGTATTAAGATGAGGGAAATCTCTGGAACAGGTTATAGACCAGCAGCAGGAGTGAATAAATAAACAAACTAAATATTACTTTCTGAATATAAATATACAACTACATAATATAAGGTTGAACTATTAGATGTTATATTAGTATATGTCCAGCTGTTTGAAATACTCAGTCTGGTTGTTAAATGATCTGTAGTGTTAACTGAGTCACAATATAACAGTCCAATTGTATGAGGATCTAATAACATGAAAGCAATTTCATCATTCCACACAATATAAGTCTCTATGTAGTGTTAAATTCCGATTCATCTACCTACAAAAACTCAACTTCTATTTATGCTCACATGTTACTGTTTGACTATGATAATTTCAATCATTCCATATTATATTTAAGTAGATAAAGTGGTTCTGAACACAATATAAGTCTCTATGTAAATTCTGATTCATCTACCTACAAAAACTCAACTTCTATTTATGCTCACAGCTTACTGTTTGACTACAATAACAAGTTTCAAGATGTGTTTTAATATTTTCTTACAACTACAATATATACAGGTGAACAGTTGTAGAGTTTTGAATAGTTTAATAAAAATTTGCTTTTAATGATAGTCTTTTTATGAAAATTAAGAACAACATTGTATGAAAACTTCAGAACAAAGTTTAACAATCTTTAAACAATTAAAACACATGATGTGATGATAAGAAACAATAGAGTTTTTGAAAAAAAGACACTGAGCTCAAAATACTCAGATGTGATGTGTTGGAGCTCTGTTATATTTGGTGTTAAATCATGTAGAAATCAGATTTAATATTTCATATATGCATCAAAACCAACAGCCAGATATTTTTGTGGCAGACAGATTTGTTTCAATGGACCTTGTATTAACCTTATTATATATTACTTTTTATATTTTGTAATATGGTCAACAGATAAGTGCATAATTCTACATAACAAAGACACTATGAAATGTACACTCATTAAAATCACAAATGATGCTATAGTTTAACTACTGGAATAACAATTATAAATACAACAAAATATACAGCGTGTTAATTTTCTCATACTTAGCTAATTTTCATCATTTTCTCAATTATGTGTTATTTTTGGTCTATCTCTTTTCCCTTGTCTTTTAGCTGTAGGTGCAAGGGGATTAAAATATTTGATAGCTGTATGTGTCAACAGTCTATATTAAACTTAATCTATTACAAATTTTCATTATCTCTTGTAACAATCGAATAAATATTGTAGTAATAAAATTTCCCTTTTTCTTGGACATTGAATGTGGTCGTCTGATTTCATTGAGAGCATTCTTATAGAATTGTGAAAGCAAGTAGTGTGTTATATTATGTATTTATATGATGTATTTCACTATTATACAATACATATATTTTCAACAATTCTAAAAAGGTTTTGCTGTTTTAAAATGGGAGTTTTGATAAATAAAAAAGCAAGAAACCTGCAAATGGTTTTGAATAAAGTCAAATGGTTTTTACTGTCCCTAATTCTTCACATTCTTAAAAATAATTTCATCACAAAACAGTGATTTACCTGAATTTTCTACTTGTAATTTACATTATAATTGTTGTAAAGAGTTAAAATGAATCAATGTTAAATGAAAACTGGCTTTTTAAAACTTTTCTTGAATTAGAACAAGGTGACTTATGAGGACTAAAATAATATTAATATACAAAACATATAACAAATACTAGTAATGATAAAAAACAATTCTAGTTTTGATTGAAAATATATTAAAATAAATACAAAGATATTTATAACTAATTGAATATATTAAAATTTATACACATTATAAATTAAGATTATTTTTTTACAAATTAAATTATGTTTGTCTACTTTGGCAATGAAAAATTTCTCTGTGTGCTAAAGTGTCAATTATTTTCTCACAATGAAATATATTCGTATGAAATTTATACACAGTCAGTTCAGGACACTGGCTTCATTTCAAGACAGAAACTCATTTTAACCAATATCATATAAAATACATATTTCTTTTATGATGATTGGCACTTGATTTGATATTTGACCTAGTTCAATCTTTTTCTTTTTGTACTGTAACTGTTTTATTCTGATTGTTTATTTATAGAATCTACAAAATATGTAAACAAATATATGGATTTCCTTGATTATTGTTGGTTATTGCAGTAAAAAATCTTCCTCAAAAAATTATGCATAACTCAAATAGTATTTTCTGTCAAAATTGAAACAAATTTCAAGATATTTTTCAATCTTGCTTGAAACATATTATGTTTTGATTGGAACAGATTTTTAAAATTGATTGAAAAACATTTCTATTTTGATTAAAAAACATTTCTATTTTGATTGAAAAAATTTTCTATATTGATATGCAATCAAACATTCCTTTCTCAGACAGAATTTTTCAATCCAAATCGAAACCAATTTAATATATCACTCAATTGATGTTTCTATCCGAATTAGAACAGATTTTCCATATTTTTTCATTTTGAATCTTGTCAGGTCAAATAATCAATGATCAGATAAGTTTTATCTGGTTAAAGAATGTTAACAGTATTATATTTTGGCTGATTAGTCTGCTATATAAAACATTTCAATTTTCATCCAATAAACCACAATATATAAAGAGTTTATCTGCTATGTTGTTCCTGAGTTGCTGGTTTTGATACTACCACAAACTTCTGCATTAAACTTCTCAACGCCTGGTAAACTTGACGTGGAAATGCACATGGTTGTAATTTGGCTAAAACTGAACCACAATGTGATATATAGTCAGTAAGATTGGTTAAGGATTTTAAGATAAAATTGGAGATATTGACACAAGCATAATGATCTATGAAATCCAACACATCCACCATATCATCCTTCTAATTAACATAAAATAGCAATTTCATTTCTTCTTTGTTTTTTATGTTAGATTACAATGGAGACTTTGATTGCCCAATCCTGAACTGTAATGAAACTAAACCTTTAGATTTGCAACAGATTGAACTATTCTTACAATTTTAACTGAGGTGCAAGACAAATATCAAAGTGCTGTATTCATATATATATTTAATAGTCCACATTGTAAATTTGTAAAGCATCAGAACAGGATAAGTTCTGACATGTTTCCTAAATTTTACACTTACCTTTACATAATATAGAAGCAAATGAAATGTTGTTTAAAACAAACAATTATGTAAAATAAAAACAATAACTTTATTAAAAGGATATGTAAAAGACCACGGTGGTTGGCCTCCATTGGTGTATAAAACATAGGAATATCCATGACGAGATTTGCCTTGTATAAAATAATAATATGGAAGGAAACTATGAGGTCTAAAATTTCGTCGTTCATAAAATCTTAAAGCATCACCATTGGACTCTAGGACATGTAAATATACAGCTTTACAGTTGTAGAATTCTTTAGTTGTAAGATGGGATAACAAACTATCTAACAACAGAGAGGCTGAAATAAACAAGATATAAAGTAAAAGCAATATACCATTTGTATTTTTTTTTTACATTCAGTGGTTCATTTAAATAAAATGTTCTTTCAAACAGGGAATTAACTATGATGTGTGACCCTACAACAGACCAAAATAAAAATCAGAGATATTGACAAGGGTAGATAACTTCATAATATCTTTTCAAAAGTTTAACAAAAATTAAAAAAACATTACTAATGAATGTTTAATGACTATTTTGACTGTATTTTTTTTTATCAAGATATTAATATATATACTAGACAGACTTTGAGTTAACTTTTTGTTTTGACTATGTTATTAATTCAAAGCTTTATCAAGGTAACCTTTTTACTTTACTTGCAAAAATATACAAGAGTCAAAATTTCTGAGATAAAAATTGAAATCTGACACACCAGATATGAACAGATATCAATATTCTAGACAATGTTCATGAGGTATGGGACGAGATATCTTAGCTATCTAAATACCAGCTGCAGTAAAATATGTGACTTAATACAAGGGTACATTAAAAGAAAGTCCAAAGAACTGCTGTTTTGAAGAGCAGATCAAAAAGAGTATTGGTTGATCAATTCAGATCAATATATAGAAGACAATTGACATTTGATTGTATTGTACTAATCAGATTATTTGAGAGGATTGTTAGGTTTTATTTGTTTAGGTCTCTATGATCAATAATAGACAACAATATTACTTTCTTTTTATTTTTTGTTTGAATTATAAGAATATAAATATTAATTGAAACTATTTATCTACCTTCAATAGAGCCAAGTGATATTTTTTTATAAAAAATCAAAATGTTACTAGATTGTTATTTTAAGAAAGACTGATTAAATAAAGAATAAATTTACCTATCCCATTTCTACGAAATTCTTCTACAACGCCTAGACTTAAAATATAAGCCACCTGGACAGTTGGTGGAAAACATGTTGCTAAAATATCTGAGTCCTGAAACAAATAAAATATTTTTTTTAAGTCCAGTGCCATAAGCAGTCAAATGATAGCAAATGACAGAACAAAATACCTTCAACAGATCTTTGGCAAACTTTTTTGTTGGAGAATGAATCTGATAAAGCTGGGTTCTTAACAAAAAACATATTGAAAAACAGAAGGATGCTTTTTGGAACAATCTTTACCTCCAAGTTATGAAACAGCTATAGCACAGTAAAAAGACTACTGTCTGTTTTAATGTCATCAGACATTCAGTGATATAACATGATTCTGTTCAGGCATGTTATATCTACTTATATACTACAGTACCTATTAAGCTAGATATTTATGTGCCTAGCTCGTACCTCTTTATTCAGTTTGACTTTTGGTTTGATTTCTGCTACTATGAGACCAATAATTCGGGAATGATAGGTTGCTGCCAGAGAAAAAAATCTGGAACTGGAAGTGATGTCATCATACCAGGAATCTGGGTAACTAAAAAATAAGTGGTTTTTATATTCATATAATTAACAATGTTGAATTTTTGGATCAAATCATACAGTAATTCTTAGATTTATAATAACTATAGAGTTTGAAAATAAATTGTCTGTAATACCTTCTTTTGTACACTTAGTGTGATGTGATTTTAAAATATATAGTGCACCGAAACAGTATCATGTTAATTCCTTTCGTTTGTTTCCTTATACATTATGTTATAAGATACAAATTCTACTTACTCAATCGGAAACCATTCAGCACATAGTCTCTTGACTTCTCCTAAATCACCAGGACAAAGAAAACGTAACTGTACTTCTTGTTGAAAGTGTAGTGACAAAGTTTGGCTCATGAAGACATATCACATAGAACCTTCACATCATCTCGGAACTGAATACAAGATGAATACCCCACAAGTTTGCCTACAACATTAGTTTGGTTGATAGAGATAATTTCTCAGGTTCTCTAATCACCTGTTAATATAAACAAAACATCTTAATTACTAGAGCTTATATAATTGATTAGCCTGGCAGTATCACAAACTGGACAGTATCCAACATTCTCTCCTAAAAGACATCTTAATTACCTTATTATATTTATATAATATAATGTACATTAATTTCAGCTATTTGGATATTTCATAAGTGTATAAAACTGTTTGTCACAAAAGTTAAACAAAAAAGATATACAGTATTTTAAAATTAATCCACTTTGAAATTTGTTTTTACATTGGAATAAGGGGGTGAGAGCCGACACCAGGCCGATTCTCGAAAGCACTGGCACAGGCAAAAGATCTTTTCTTACCATGAGGAGGTTTTAAACCATGGCACCTGATTGCCTAGAAGACAATAATCCAACTCGCAAACCGACTGACTGAGCTATTCCAATGCCACAAAAAAGACAGTAAGCTTATTCCAACTCAGCATTTGAGGAAAGTATTGACGTTTACACAGTTTGAATGTTGTTTGTCTCTACAGGAGATATTCATATAGCCTGGCACAGGCAAGGATAGGTGATAAGGGGGTGAGAGCTAACTCTATGCCAGTTTCAGCCAAAATTTTGGTAATAGGAATAGTTGAAATTTCTTGGAGGGAGGTTAGTTTCTGTTAATGTAAACTTTTTTACATAGCCTAACCTTATATATTTTCCAAAGTAGTCATTCTGAGACAATCAGTATGATTTTGAAACTGATATTCAACTAAACTAGTAGCCTATCAATAAATGGTTACAGCTGAATTAAAAAAAAGGACAAAATAAATTAATTAGGACATAGCAAAAACGGGCTATTATTTACCAATTCACCAGTAAGACTTCAACCAAAAGAACGGAAAATTGTAATTATCTAATTCATTGTCAAAACACCAATCAAACATGATATTTACCTGTCTGGATATGGAAAAGCTGATTATTATTAGAAAATTATAATCTTACTTATTATGACCGGAAGTACACAAAAAACATCATAACATTGCAGTGAAACGTACCCAAGCTGATTTTTCATTACAAAACGTAACGGGATCAATGTGAGCTGTATTCACTTTTATGAATATGAAATTGAGTTCATATGACACAAAAACAAATCAAAGTTAGAATTTTTATAAAACCGACAAAGACTTATTTAACAAATTAGCTAATTTTTATGAAGGTACAGGATGGAATGTCTAATATCAGTGAAACGAACTCATACCAGAAAAATGGAAACATCCGGCAAAACACGTGAAGCTGTTCTTGTTAAAGATTTCACAGGTAAAAAGTCAACATACATAACACACCATAATCACGATGTTAGAAGGACTCAGAATAATGAAATAACCTTTACATACATAGTAAATGATCCACGTGGACCGACTAAATTAAGTATGAATAAAGGAAATATTATACGGGCGCAGTTCGTTTTGTATAACCAGGTGTTTGCAGTCATAATAGTGGAAAATCCAAGTCAGTGGCTTTGGGCAAAATTTTTGCAGATTAACTATTTGATTCCTTTCCCTCCTTCAGATCTTAGGGTGCAGGCCCCCGTCTCACTATTGTATGATTGGTTTAGCGGATGGTGAATCTGTCCCTTTACTAATCATACGTCCATAGCCTCAGAAAGCGCATTTTTTTTAGGTAAGCCAATCAGACATAGTGATCACAGCTCAATGTCAAAATTTGAACCTTCAAATCCATGGGTGTCCAGAATTATTGGCGTTTGAAAGTGAAAAGGATGAGTTGTCATATTATAAAAAGATATCTACTGAAATGGGAAAAGAAATTTAAATACTTATTATTTAATTACGTAATATATAAGACTCAAAAAAGCACATGTCCCTTTAAAGAAAAAGGTCGTCCAAGTTCAATTAATTTTTATTGTGTGTATTCTGTTTTAGTTGTACCGATAAAATTTGAAGAATCCAGTTGTGCCTGTCATAATATCTACTTTAAAGAACATTCACTACATAGAGAGGATACCAAACCTAAAGGAAGGACATTATTTATAACTAATATACCCCCTTACTGCACTACGGTAGGTGACATTTTAAACAGTTTGCTTATCTCATAAAATATTGCTTGAGGTTGTTTTTACCTTTTTTTTTTTGGAGACAGTGCAATGGAATTTGTGAAAATTTTGTTGGTATGAATAACTTTAACTACTAAAATAACTAATTGGATTTGCTTGTAGAATGATAATTCAGATGTAGATTAGATCTATGACTAAGGAGCATCTGAGTAGAAACAGTTGGAATTTACTTGATATACCATGCACACAGTGATATAAATTTGTAAAAGTTAGTTTGTCAATTTCTTTCAGGAAGTACTCCATAGATTGTTTTCCCAATTTGGAAATATTCAAGCAGCATTCTTCAGTGAGGATGAAAAACCTCAAAATAAGTCAAGAAGAAACAAAATTCAGCTTAAAAATTCTTTCATTGAAAATATATCAACTAAGGTATGAAATTTGAGACTTTTTAAAAAACAATGCTTGAGTATAGAACTGCATTATCCATGTATAGATTGATTATTATAAAGACTAGTAAAAGTCAGTTAAACGGATTGTTAAGAGGTTCTACTGTTCTCCCATTTGATAGCATCAATTTGCACCTTTCCACTTTTCAGTCAGATGTCTGTGCTTCCTGCGATTCCGCTAATGATGACTTCCCTAATCGCAAAATATGTTTAGCATAAGGTGACATTATCAAACACTTAGCTTTAGTGCAAATTAGAATGATGCAAATTGATGCTAAATACCCATGAAAAATTTAGAAAAGCTCTTAACAATCCCTCAAAATTATGATAATTTCCCAATTTTTCAAATTCAAAAATTAAATTATGTTGTTAATTGCCTTACAAGGCATATAAATTACATAATCAGTATGGAAGAAAAAAAGCAGCACTCTGACTGCTATACTGTTAAATATATATAGTTGAAGATGAAGTGGCAGTAGTATTTTGTTTTATCTATTGCAGGGTTTTAAAACAGCATATGTCCTTTATAGAGATAAAAACAGTATAGTTCGAGCTTTAAAAGCCTCATATGATAAACCATTTATTATATCAACACCAACACAACCTGTTTTAACAGGTCTCAGAAGTAAGTGGTTTCATTAACCAATGTAAATTGATGTTCTCTAAACTAAGTGGACTCTCCCAAACAGATGTTTTGACATATTCAGTGCCAGAGTGGCATCATGTTCTGTCTTAAAGGGACATCAAGGATTGTCATTATTCAGTGGAGCTCAAATTTGATTAAAGCTTTTAAACTTAAGACTCAACAAATAGCCCATTGCAAAATCTACTTTACAATATAAGGCTTTTTGCAATTAGAGACGTCATAAAACACTTAGTTTTAGTGGAATTGCTGGAACCACAGACGTCTGAATGAAATTTGGAATGATGCAAATTGATGCTATCAGTGTCCCAGATACATGTACAAAATTTAGAAATTTTTTTTTAAGGATGGCCTTGTCCATTGGCCTAATTGTGTATACAATATTTACTATGTATATACTCTGTTATCTTATAATATGGACATTTATAAAGCGCTAGTATCCATATCACTGAGGGACATGCTCCTGTGACACATTGGGTTGTTGCATTGACTCATTGGACACATTGGGTTGTTGCATTGACTCATTGGACACCTTTGGTTGTTGAATTGGCTCATTGGACCCACTGGGTTGTTGCATTGGCTCATTGGACACCTTTGATTGTTGCATTGGACACATTGGGTTGTTGCATTGACTCATTGTTGCATTGAGTTCTTGGACACATTGGGTTGTTGCATTGAGTCCTTTGACATATTGGGTTGTTGCATTGACTCATCTGGCACACTGGGTTGTTGCATTGACTCATTGGACCCCTTTGGTTGTTGCATTGACTCATTGGACACCTTTGGTTGTTGCCTAGACCCATTGAACACATTGGGTTGTTGCATTGACTCCTTGGACACATAGGGTTTATGCATTGACTCCTTGGACATATTGGGTTGTTGAATTGATACAAGGGTCATGATACATTAAAATTAATTTTGTTTCTCTGTAGAATGGCAAAAAGAATATGAAGTAAAGCATACAGATTGGAATGAACTTCAAGAAGAAATAGATGAGTACATGAAAGGATATGATTCTAGTCTAAGCAAAGTAAGTTAATAATGGACATTGATTGTATTGTATTTGCAATAGTGAGGTTATAATCTAGCAAGTTATTTTCTGGAAGCACAGGCATCAAATCAGAAATGGAATAGTGCAATTTGAATTTAAAATGGCTAGATTTACAGATAAGTGAGAAATTCCTTTATTGCACATTTCATTCAATTGACATATATATCTGAATTACATTGATATCTGCTTACTCTATGCTTACCATCCCCCAATTCAATGGTCAACATGTGTGTGGCATTTTCTGTTTTCAATCAGATGTCTGTAGTTCCTGCAATTCCACTAGAACTAAGTGTTTAATGACATCACTAATCGCAATATATGCTTTATCACATAAGACCCTTTGCAATTAGTGACGTCATCAAACACTTAATTTGAGTGCAATTGCAGAACTACATATGTCTGATTGAAAATTGGAATGGTGCAAATTGATGCTATCAGTGTGAAAGTGTTTATGGAATATGTTTTTATTGTAGAAAATAGAAGAAGAGAAAGAAAAAGAAGGTGTAGCTGATGAAGAAGGCTGGGTTACAGTAACAAAACATGGTAAATTAAAACCTACATCTCGTACAGAGGTAAACCAGAGAAAATTAACTAAAAAGGATCGAAAGAAGAAAAAAGAAAGGGTATGTTTTTATTTAATTAAGTCATTTATAGCCAAATTTAAATGGATAAATCAACAAATTCAAATGAAACTCAAAAAAGTTCGAAAATGTCAAGTAAAATAATTTGAAAAGAATTTTTAATGTGAAAAATGTGTGAAATTTTATATTTTTTCTGGTTTTTTCTTTTCACATTTTTGATTGCAGGAGCTATTAAATTTTTATACTTTCCAAATAAAACAAGAGAAGCAAGATAGTAAGTATCAAGATTTTCAGTCTAGATAAAAATTCAGATATTGACACAGAAATAGTAGCCTAGTAATATTGCAAGTTTTTCCTTTATGGCATCGAACATCTAGATATCAATTAAATTTTGGGAGGATTTTACCAGGTTAGAATTGACTTGTTTTAAATATCAGGCAACCAATTTTTCTGTATTTTGATTTGAAACAAACAATTGAATTGTATATAACTTATTTGAAGACTGTACCGTGTAAAACTCTGAGTAACATCATGTTTTAAATTCTGTTTAAATATTTCCATAACTTATGTTCATATATTTTATAGGAATTGCAGCTTTAAGGCAGAAATTTGAAGAAGATAAAGTCAAGATTGCTCAAATGAAATCAGCTAGAAAATTTAAACCATATTGAGATGATGGGAATTATAGAACTTGGTTCCTTGTCAGTAGGGACCAATGATGTTTTGACTATGGGTATTATGTTGAATACCTCTAAAATGATGTCAGATGAAATATTCTAAAACAATTATGCCCTATTTCCAGCATTGATCGATTTATTTAAGTTGATAGCAGGACATATTATTCTATTGTGTTTATTCTATCATCAAAGTATCCTCCACTCAAGTACTGAAGAAAAGACAAATGAAATTGAGAATTTATTGTACAAAATATCAGTTATGGTCGAAATGGTGGTTGTTGAGTTATTCTGTTTGGTTGTTGACCCCCAGAAAGAAATGCTAGCACCATTTGTAATAATCTGAAATTGAAATAAAATTACTATGTTAAACTACAACTGATTTTATCTGTACATATGAATATATCATGTTCTAAAGATTAAGTTAGTTTAAGGTCTCATTCTAGAAACTAGAAAAATAGAAGACAAATACCAATAATTGGTCTTTGATTAATTAGCATTGCATTGCCCATCATAAGACCACATCATTTAGGTACTCATTGAAGCTAGAAATATTCATGTGGCTAGATGTTTTGGCATCTTCACAATTGTCAAGGTATTATGTCTTCATCTTATACCCTGACTGCAATGGCCCAATTTCTTGTTTTACGGTCAGCAATTTGATCGGGTTGTACAGCGTATACAGCCAAAGTCTTTCTATTGAGAGCTCGGTTGGGTGTATTTGCTGCCTTCACAGACTTTCACAAGAAATTTGGCCATTACGGTCAAGGTATAAGATGAAGACGTAATTCTTTGAAACTTGTGTAGGTGTTAAATGGGCTACTACCAGACATAGATCATTGTTTGAGTTACAACTATCTCATAAAACTTTACAACAACCTGTAATTGTTTTTATCTATTACCTCTTCATAAAAGAAAAGAGATGAACTAGTCATTAACCGTAACTTACCTGTTATGTGGAAAACTGTTGAAAACTATACTCTGAAACTCTCTCAGTTTTCCTACAGAAATAAAGAATAAGAACTGATAAATATTTTTCGGGGTTAAGTAGGGTCTTAAATATATATAAATAGACTTCAAGACCACTATAATTGCACAGAAATCGCATAATTTCTTCAAATATACTTTAAACTAGAAATTTCACTTTCTTTTATGTATACAGTGAATCCTGCTCATGCAATCACCTTCAATATGAAACCACAATAAAATCTCCCATACAACTTTTCAATATAATTAATGACTGATAAGCAACCATCTTCATAACACAACCAGCGACCATGTATTTACACTCCTAGTACTGGTATATATGAATTTCCTATTCTGAATATTTTGAAGCTAGTGCATGCTACCTCTTTAACAGAAAAATTCATAAGCATTTACCTGTTTCAACACCAAGACAACCACTAACTGCAGACACCTGTATAACTTGTGAAAATCGTTCTAATGAATTATGTAAACATTCGTCTTCTGGTTTGACACCACAGTTTCGACACACCGTAATTAAGGAATGAATAATGTCTAACATATTCATAACAGTTATCAAATACTGAGACATGTTATTAATGTTAGTCTGACAGAACTGTAAACTTTGTAATAATCCTAGATGTAACTTGGACAACAAACCAGTTAATTTAAGAGCCTTTTCTAACTCTATGGTCTGTATTTTATTGTCACTAGTAGGTTGTGAAGCCATATTTTGAAGGTATTTTGTGATTATGGTACCACGTACACACCATGCTGTTAATCCAGGAATTGGTGAGGAGTAATTATTATGTATTCTAGCTTGGCGGACTGATTCACAACATAGTGTACAATCTGTATTGATCCAGTCTGTGACATGTTGTAATAGTCCTATAGGAGGTATGCTTCTTGTGTCTAAAAAAGTAACATTTACAGTAAAATTCGACTCGTGTTGTCTTAAAAAATTTAATTTTATGTTCTTTGTACATGTCGGGCAGAACTACACAGACAACCCAAACATCTCAACCATAAAACATAAAATCATAAAATACACACCTTACAAATAAAAACCAAGAAAATTACATTAATGAAATTACTTTTCATATGTTGGTAAAGGACAAAAGTGTTCAGATCTTATACTATCAAAATATGTTTCATTCCAGCACTAGTTACGAACGGTGTCTTACTCTTAGAAGACTTATTCAAAGTCACCAAACTTAGAATTTGTGACCCTCATTTGACAATCAAATGACATCAATATTCCAACACTCTTACCGATTGTGTTACTGTCGTCTTCAAATGTTAACTTACCGTGCAAAGGGTACAGCATGGTGACTGATGTTATGAAATTACATACAAATAATGGTGATATTGAAGGTAATTTGTGAAACACTACTGATGGTTCTATGAATAATAAGCAATAATCTTCTACTAGTCGTAAAGTTAACTGCTGAACTGGGCGCTTTCCACAACTTCTCTCCTGTAAAACCACAAAATATACAAATGTATTTGATCAAGTTTCACGTTTGATGACAAACTATTTAAGGTTGACATTTTGTTCAATGATTTCATTGTAGTCTGTTGTAGAATCCAAAACCAACAATGGTTTTGAAAATTTTGTCCCAAATCAGTGCTCAAACAAGTTAATTTTAGTATTAAGATTGAGGAAGTTCATAGAAACTCCTATGTAAAGCACTGGCCGAGGTCACTCATAAAGAGATCTGCTATACTATAGGGTGGATTTAACATAGTTAGTACTTAGTAAAATAATAAAAAATAAACTGAAAGGCAAGTGAAGATAATCTCACAGATACTGAAAAATGTGTCAAACATGGTTAATCAGAGATATCTGATAGATGAAGGTTATTGCTGTACTAAATAGAACTGTTTGGGCACTGTCCTTAATTTTCATGAAATGGAGGTAAAGACTACATTTCTTAGATACGAGAATCACTAACCTGTGCCCAGATAGCTACACAGTCTAACACTGAACTACAACTGATTGATAAAGCCATAGAAACTAATTTCGTTAACAGTGCACTGCTGTAATTATCTGCCCTTGGTCCAAAAATGGCAATAAATAGCTGGTATTTACTCTTCTGTTGTGCTTCATTAAAACATGTACACAACATCTGTAGTAGCTGTAATTCTTCTATTGGTGGTAATGTCTGCGAAAACAAATAATGGTCAACATATTTATTTCAGTAACACACTTCTTTGGGATCCTTCTACCTGGCCCAATCATTTTAATATTTTTTGTTCTATTTACTAGGATACCAAATTAGATTCTCAGAAATACTAAGCTGGTACATGTCCCAGCCTCCTGGCAATGATCCTTCCCAGATCTTCTGCACACATTTATTAGAACACCTGATTCCTGAGCTTAAAGAGACAAGTTCGCGATCCGGTTGACAAATCGTACCGTAGTCTCCAACACACCCCAAAATGGTGCATCTATCCTTTTAAAAAGACATATCTATTATGCAGTACTACCTATACATTAGATCAACATGATTCTTTCCTACCTTTTGTGGCTTTCCTTTTGTTTTAAATAGAATAAATTCTTGACATATTTCTAGAGCTAGGGCCTCAGATGAATTTGGTTGTCCTGGCAATGAATCTTGATTAAATATTGCTATCAATTGTTGTAAGGCTTCTCTTGTGCAGTCAGGGAATTCCATGTGGCGTAACCTTTTCATTAAATTTGCAGCCATCTTAAATATATCTGTAATATTGAAATACATGAAAACATAAAGGCCTATTCAATAATATAATGATCTGAACCAAGAAACTGAAAATATTTTTTGATGAACTCTGAAAATTTGACCCTATTTTCTCCACATTAACATCAAGGGCCTGTAACTAGGCCTACTTAGATAAGAGTGCCTGTGGATGGAAACTTTATAACTATAAGGCTACAACAATAAAATATTTTCACTGTTAAATATTGCTTAATACGTTAATTGTAGAGCGATATATAAATTGAAATATTAAAAAAAATGTAAGGCTAATTTATTTGTGGTCTGAATCATTTCCATGGTTGTTTGTTGTTTATTCTCATGTTTGTTCTGCGGCAAGAATGAATTAAAAACAAATTTTCGTGAGATCCTCATACATCCTCTGTAATGATTATTGGAAACTTACCAAGAGAGTTATACTTTATAATAAAACTTTATGGAACATTTTTTTTTCTTTTCAGTATATTCAGCGAGTCATTCTCATGAATTATCTCCCCGTTGTGCCTTCGGTTTACCCTCTTTACTGACTTTCAAAAATGTTCGACCCTCTTCGTTTTATTGCTTGTAGTAAATTACTAGCATATTCAGGTGTTCATTGCAATTAACATTATTTGATTAATTATAGATTTATATATTGAAACTATAAATAATTCTATGGCATACACTCACATAGATGACAATCGTGTAATCCCCTTCATCACAGGTCATACAGCTATTTAAAAAAAAAAACAAAAAAAAGGTCGCTACGTTCAAAGAACGCAATAGAAATAGGATAAAATAACTCTTTATTACCCTTTGGAGAATTTTTCGGGGCTGCCCGATTGGTGAGTTCTGCGCGTTTTCAGGATAAATGAACTAGTTAGACCAAAGCTCAGAATGCGCTCTACGTGTGCCGAAAAAATGGATTGCAGTTGGTCTAAGAGATAATTTGGTAAATTGTAAAGTAAAGAATTACAATAATCTACGCGGGACATAGAATAATCAAATATAATTTTTTTCAAAAATAAATGTAGTTTTATGCTATCCGCTTATTTAGTCACAAATCAAATCCACATTTAATTAAACTCTATTGCGCCCGAATAACATTAACCTTTAATTTAATTTTGTCTGTATCACGCAAAATTTTCTCAATTGTATTTGAAAATTAGCTTTCTATTTTGTAAATCCTAAGAAATTTCTAAATTTACCCATGATACATTCTATTATCTATCATTATCTCATTTTGCAAAGTGTGTGTTTTTATTGACTTTTTAATAGCACTGAACTTGTGTTTGAACTATTAGAATTACTTGATCACATGGCAATCTGGGCATAATTCCGTTATATTATGACTGCTATTCATTACTGTGAGATGTTGCAGAGCGCTAGCAGAACTTTCTCGGTAGACCGTTTTGTTATGGATCTTTACCCGTGTAGGCTATTCGCTTCTTCTATTTACTATTCGATCGATAATTGCGCTTCGCACATCTCACCATTACAACAAAGGTTATGTCAAACGCCACGCAATTAATAGCCTTTTTTTTATTATAACAGATATACAATTTGATCGAAATTTCCTTTTTCATTGAAAGGTTTTCAGGTTTTCTCATACTCTCATACTAGTCCCCATACCAAATCACCAAGTTTTGCTAATTTTCGCCTCTATAGTAAATGCCTCTGCTTTTTTAAGTCATAACGTTATCTATACTTCCAGTGACCTTCATACATAAAATAACGAAGTGGGTCAACCGAAAGTTAGTACCTTGATTTCGTGAAAATATTTGATTGTTCCAATTTGTTTTCTGTTGTGATCTGTTTTGGCACCAGAAATTTCAAATCAATCGAACGCATAGCTGAGAAAATAGAAAAATTTGGCCAAAATTTGCAAAATTCGGCTAAAAAATATGTGCTATGAATTTTCAAAATTCGAATTTCTTTGACTGCTATCACATACGATATTCTTGCAAGATTCTAAAATCCGAGCAAAATCGCTCCAAAATTGCGCCTTCTAGAGTCAATTATCTACATTAGCACACAATGTGCCACTATTAGTTTTGCAAAAAATAATGTTCCAATGTATATTTATTAGTTAAAAAACCAAATATGCAGATCTAATGCATTGCCAATGTTGCTGCAACTATTACAGTTTCTACAGAGTACTCAAGCACGAAAGTACGAAAACAAAGCAGGAGAACGCCCTGCAATTCTGGAGATATCTATTTTAAGATTTAAATGTACACAATAATTGTTCAGCTAGATTTGTTTTTTTAAATTTTGACACTTCACACTTGTTTGTAGTAATTTATTATTATGGAATTGCTATTAAAGAAATGTCTTTAAGAATAGAAGACACATTAATTTGACGAGCAAGTGTTAAATTTTTGACACACAAATGTTCAGTTTGGCCTACGAGTGAAGAAATACAAATTTACAAATAGGAATTAGGAATTAAGAATTAAGAACGTTGTATTTTGAGCTGATCGGTCTTGCATACTATTCTCATCTCACTCTATCACCTATATCTCATTACCGGTAAATCAATATTATGATTTAATTAGAAATTTAAAAAATTTGAATTATTTCGTCCCACGTTCTCCAATCTTCTATTTAAACTGATACTGTATATCGTTATTCAAAACAACTCTATCAGTGTGTCAGAATACTGTTCAAGTTCAGTATGATGTTGATAATATTGTTTCTGTGTGTTGGGTCATCATTGGCTCAGAGTAAGTTTAAATACAACCATTTTTATTGCTAATTTAACTGTTATTAATATTCCATTATATATTTCCTCTTGACCACAGATTTACGTTGAATCCACTATTTGATCTTGGTCTCAGAAACGGGAATTTAATTTTTCCTAAGCCAGTTGATAATAGTGTTCACTAAAACACACGCAATCATTTCAGTGACAATGGTAGCAGGGTTTTAGACATAATGATTTGAGGAAAACCTTGACACATTTTTAACAGTTAGCCTACTTGTTGGGCATATCATCATATCATGAATAATAAAACATATTTTCCTATACGAAAAGTATGCAAAAATACCCCCATACCATACGCACGCCTTTGTAAATTATTGTATACTGTAATCCAACGTATTTTTCTAAATCCCCTCCTCTTTTCCCTCTTTCACGAGTTTCTAGAATCCGCAGACCCCAACTAGAATCTGCAGATCTACTTCAAAAGTTGTGTTTTTTTTTAATTTTCACACTTTTTTCATTTACATATAGTGTCTGAATGGTATACATGTAATAGAATTTTGCAAGGCCGCTGTAATTTGACTTATCTTATGATGTCCAAAGCTATGAATCAGATTGATCTTAGATTTCAAAGGACTTGCTCAGCATTACTGTAATGAGAGTTTTCCCGACTGGTTCATATATTGTCCTTGTGCACTGGGCCATATAAAATATTTCCCTCTTCTCACTCTCTGCCTAAGTACCTTACAGTCCTGTGTTATTATTCCCAAAATTGTTCTAACTTATCAGTTATTTCATCATGTTTAGAATATCTTCAAGAATGTCTGTGAACAAAGATAAAATGCTGTGTAAATTTGCAAAATACTACCCCATTCCTGTGGCCCAATTATAGGAAGCTCCAACCTTTCGTTTCCATTTAGGCACAAATATTTCCAGTGCCAGGTATGGTACAGACCCCCTGTCAAGATAACCGGGGCGTGTTGTATGGATAAGAGAGTTTGTTGGACGATATATGATCTACTTTCATCCAGGTCAGTTAGTCAGTAACTTTGCACACTATTAGCCAATTTATGAAATGTTCTGTCCCCCACACTCCCTCCCTCCCTACCACCCCAGAAATATAGTTTGTACCCTCATCTATATTCTCACTACATTCCTTGGAAACTTCAAAGAATGATACTAGTATGTTTGTGCCCGGGAGTGCTAGAGATCGCCAAATCAAAGCTTCAGTATTCGGAATCACAACCCCGTTAGTTTTCTTGTTTTTATTGGTATCAACTCTCTGAGAGAACTCGCAAAAAATTACACTTAAATGAAAAGGGCACCGACAGTTCTCTTCCATTTAGGCATAGGAATCCGAGGAAGTGAACTGCGTGCAAAGATAAAAAGAAGAAAAGCAATATTTCAAAATTTTATATATATTATACAGAATCATTGTGTTCAGGTTGTAATATTTTATATTTATAAGCTTCACTTTTTCGACCCTGACTATCTAGAATAATTATAACATCTTCACGCGAGCGTACCACGTTAGGGTGATGTGCTCCCAATATTTCCTCCAAAATTTCTACCTCATTTATGTAAAATCCAAGACATTTTTGTAAATATTCATTTTTGTGGTTACTTGCCCAACGATTCCAAAATAATTGTCCATACAGTTGATAACTTCTCGCTGTATTTAAGTGAATACGACCAAATGAAGATAAACACAATTGCAAAGACTTCTGGAAATAACTTATTGGAACTTCTGAAAATTGAAAAGAATTGAGTGAGTATTTCATAACTAAAATTTAACCATAGCTGAATAAAACACGAAACAGCAATTTGTTGTAAATATTTTTTCTAGGTACAAGGTAGAGTCAAACTTTCAGAGCTTTCAAATGGACAATCTGTAAACTCCCAATTTAAACTCAGACCCAATAAAAAAAAACGGACAAAACCAAATCTTTAGCAAATTCAAAGTACACCTCAAGTGTGTTTTGATCAAGATTGTTTACTGCAGGCTTATTGCAAAGAATTCAAAGAGTCAGAGACTTGTTTACCCATATAGTTTTGAAGCTTTTGACTTTTGACCTAAATTGTTTTCAGGTTTGTCGGCTCAAATAGTCGAAACCTTTAATATATTCGTAATATTTCGAAAACTAATGATTGTGTGCACTCAACACCCCCGTAAGCGCAACAGATGGATCAGTGAGGGGAATCCGTTTAAAACGTCACTCCTTTGCTCCCCGACCCAATACATTATGTATATATTGGCTATAATTTGCCAGGAGAATTATTGTTTAAACCATATCTAAATCGATAGTTGGGATAAGGTAAAGAAAGTAATAACCTTTCATTCACTACCTATTTAATAGTAATTGGAAAGTTATAATACCTACCCATATCGTCATGATACTGGTTTCTTTCCCCTAACATGTAGTACACCTGAGCCAATCCACCATTGTTCTTATTCTTTTCAAATAGTTTCTTTGCTTTGTCTAAATATGTACTTTGAAAATACCCGACCATAATGTAAACATCTCCAAGTTTTGGATCGTTCTCTGGGTAATTAGCTTCAAAAGACTGGAAAATTTCAATAAAAAATTAGATTTCATAGAAATTATGGTAATAAGAGCATTATCGTCAAAATGTCGTTAACTGTGATTCATTTAGTTACTTATCAATCAGAATTGTTTTCATTCCTGTAATTTGTAGTATTAGGTTTTGGCACGCAATATGTTTTAAATTAAACGTGATTCAAGAGAAAAATTATCAATGTTAGTTATCAAAATGTATGTATTTGTTTGTATAAATATTAGCTTTAGTCCAATGTTGTACAATCATGTTTAATATCATCTATGATCATATTGTGTAGGTTAGTTTAACTTCATGCATAATAAATATGAAATGCTTACATTCACAACTACTGATGCCAGAGCACTGCCTTTCTGTCTATTTGTTTTGTAGCCTTTACTACTACCATAAACAAATTTCAAACCTGAATTAACAATTAAACATATGTTTAAGAATAATGATTTGTCCCGGTGTATATCCGCTGATAATAGTTATGTTACAGAAGAAAATAACAGACTACGATTGGTATAACTTTTTATAAATTTTGCAGTTTACATAGGGAAAGAATGGCCTGTGGCTCCCCTGGAATATTTTGTGGCCTGCTCGGTCCCCTCACCTGATGTTTCCCAGAAACACCACTGTTTCTATGTTTCGTATACTAACAAACCACTGACGACTCACCTTATTGGTATTGTGAATCGGTTCGTTATTCAGGATTACAGATTCACTAATAAGATGTCGAATACGTGAGCCCTAATCACCTCATTTCAACTCACCTGCCCTGTAGTACAGAGTCAATAATGCTAATAACGGTTCACACAGTTGTGGCGTTGTCGACCCAAAAGAAGATTCAAGCTCTTTGATAAATGGTTTGAGCAATTCTTCAGCTTTGTCATATTCTCCAATATCAACCAAAAACCAGCAAACTCTAGTCTTCAGCTTGATTGCATGATCTTTATCCTTCGCCTCCAACTGAAAATATTATGTAAGTATTGATGGTAGGAAAATTTAATTCTGAAGTAAAATTTATTGTAGAATCTTACAGTAAGATTCATTTGAAATTCATAAGAGTATAAATTAATTTGGCCTTTTAGTCGATGGACCATTTCAAAGACAAAACGCCCTAGACCCCAAGGAAGCCCCAAAAGATCAAGATTTCAACCCATTTTATTACTTCTGACATTTTTAAAAAATTTCATCGTCTTGTTTCAATAATTCCATAGGATTGCGCAGAGAAGCTTAAAGGACCTATTTTACATACAGTGTGAAACCCAATGATGGACGCTCTCGTCGATTTCAATATATACTTTTGACTTCTAGTTTCATCTGTATCATAATAGAGATAAAATTCAAGCAGGTCTTTGTACCGAAAGCTAATAGTTTTGAAGAGTGACCCCGGAACAATCTTGTCGACCTTTAATTGATAAAATTATGGTATATTACTCCAGGATTAGCTTATGAATTATTCACTAATTATAGACCCGTTGGTGTGAAATACCTTACCTGTTTATATTGTTCTTGTAACAATTGAGAATACTGTTTGGAAGCTTTATCATAACCTCCGACAAATATCCAATATTTCATTAATTGCTGTTTAGTGGAATCCTCTGATAAACATAAAAATATTTCGGGAGTAACGAGACATTTCGTCAATTCATCCTTGTTATTCAGGTGATACAAATGGAATGGAAGTTCTTCTGACGATCTTGAACAATCCTTACTGAAATTCCAAAGCACAGTTAAAATTATCTGACGGAAAAATGCATATCTAAACGACAAACATTCAAAAACAACATTAGAAAATGGTATTCACAAAAACTGCTGAGGTATCAGAAATCTGTTTAATCAGTTACTTTAATCAAGATACCCCTGTCTAAATGAACATAACATTTTCAATAGGTTAATATATTTACAATGTTAAAAACACGTAAAACTTATAACAAATTAGGCCTATATGTTGAATTGGCAGGATTGTTACTTACCATCGTCTGAAATAGTCCGCTAGTCTTTGATGCCACCATTTCTTGACTTCGGGTTTATCAAGATACACCTGACGGACAACTTTACTAGTTGAACGATGGTAAAAATCTAATCGACCTTCTCCGGAACCACCGAATGGTCGTAAGAACGGTTTCAGTCCAAGATAAACTAAAGCCCACTATAAAGTAAAATAAAAGAATTCACAAACCAAAACCAACGAACCTCAAAGAGTGTATACATTATATTTATGTACTAAAGATAAAGCAATACTTCCGCTTTCAATTAGAACAGAACTCATCGAGCCGTTAAAATAAATCCCCCATGTAACACTTCAGGAAATAGAACAATATTCTTGTAGCATAAACATAATACCTATGTATTTTCTCATAATATTTGTTTTGATGTGTATACTTGATCGAGAGATGTGGTAAATGAGTTAAAACAGTGGTTATAGTTATATCAAGATTTTAGAAAATAGTTATTTTAGTCATTGGCCAATAAGATAAGAAGAAAGCTCCATTAGTCCTATTTAGATTTTTTTTTATGATAGATTTATTCTAAAACTAATGAAGCAATCAAGAGTTACAAACCTGTGCCATCAATAATTTTCCATTATAGCTATTATCCACTGCTTGAGTACAATACGTTATAGGTTTCAATGTTAATAACTCTAATAATTCTGACTCCATCAAACCAAACCTGGACGTTTCCAATAAACACAATGTGGCTTCGACCAGATGCTGTCCATAGTCTTGTATTACTCGCTTTAAAACCTGTTGGCGATAAATCAAAATCTAGAAATATAATCACTTGATTACTAAACGTGACGTTATAGTCATGAGGAAATATGCACATCAGATGGAAAACTGTTTAGGTTTCTTTATCAAATGATATCGTTTTTTTAGTTCGTACAATTTGCTTGTAAAATAATGTGCCATGGCATCGGACTCAAAAGGATATCCACTCAACGATAATTAAACATCACGTTGATGTGATGTGATACCTAGTGTACTGACACGGTGCAATCATGTCAAATGTTCCGATTCCTCATACATAATAATGATGTTGACTATTATTGGTAGAATATTAATACTGTACAATTGATCGTCAATCTGAAAAAGGATATTGTATCTAAATGACCATTACAGCAAATTAAACTGAGTAACGAATCATACTTACTATCTCAGTTAAGCCAAGCAAATCGCCAGGTAGTTGGTGTATTTTATCGGTTAATCCTCTAAAATCACCATAAACTCTTAGATCTTCACATGCTATAGATAACCACAATGGTCTTCCAGCGTCATCTTTAGATATAAGTAATGACATCTAAAAAAAATATTTATTACTAAGAACTCATGGACGATCAATCGTGTTACATTTCCATAGCTAAAATCAATAATGTTATTTGTCAATTTAGGTTGGTCTCTCTTACATTGGTTGGTCTCTCTTACATTGGTTGGTCTCCGGATTCTGCTTGATATAAATTCGCACAGGCAAGACAATTCTATCAATCAATCTCGTCCAAAGAATGACAAAATCGGGAGTATAAGTTGTATAGTTGTGGATCAACGTTACAGACTCGTGAGAATTGATGAGATTTCACAGTTTAAGAATAGAATATACCTGTTCTTGATCAAGTTGTTTATTATATTCCTGTAGAACTTTTCTAACGATATCTCTTCTAGTATCGAGGTTCAATGGTTCCACTGCTATCTCCTGTGGTTTTATTTTATGAGATCGCAAAGAATCTAGTATTGATCCGGCCAAGGTACTGACTATCATCTTCAAATTAGATGTTAGTTGTCGAGGTAACCAATCCAGCTTACACGAATGTCCTAAAAAGGAAATTGTCAACGTACTTTTATCCAGATGTATTTCATGTGTTTTTTCGCACCGACAGTTGAAGAACCTTCGAGAGGTGCTAAATATCGTAATCTCTTGAAATTCTTGGAATAGATTTATATATATTATTTTCTTTCTCGTTTTGATTCATTTTGATCATCAATATTAACTCCTCTCCGATAAAAGCCGAAACCCTTCGTAATGAAACCAGTTGTAGGAAGCAGTAAGATACACCTAAGAAATACTTACCATCTTCTTCCATCTGATTCAGGGCATCAAAATAAACCACAAGACGAGAGTAACCCTCCGATACAGCTTGTTCAGCAGCTTTCTGGAACATCGTTGGGGCATAACGTAACATATTTTCTAAATCAGCCGGCATGTTGTCATCATTGGGTAAACATTCCTTATAGAATCTTGTCAATATACTGTAAGGATCAGTGGAATCTGGTGTCGCACCCACAAAATGGTAGAACACCTTAAATAAAAGAGTAAAGAGTTGAACAATAAATCTATGGAATCGAAATTATAACTATAATAACACTCAGTCAAGGCAGTCACCTTGGTTTGTGAGACCTTATCCTGGCGTTTCATGACACTAAACTTGTCTAGGTAATACAGCCTTAGACATCAACAACCCTAAAAAACAACAGTGGTATTAAAATCTACTTTAGTGTACCGATATATCAATGTGTGAGCGAGGGAGTAGAAATTCAACGAACAATCGTGTGACCTACCTTGTAGGAAGTATTAGAGAGGGTGTTTTTAGCAGAGTAGGCCATTAAGGAACTCTTACCAGCACCGGGATAGCCAACTAATGACAAGATGCCAGGCTGGGCGTGGTCTGTATTTATATAATCTATCATAGTAGACATCCCTTCATCTCTTCCCAGTAAAAACTTAAAAAAAAGTTTAATAATAAATTATTCAGGTTATCTATGTTGTCACAATAACAGGGACACGCCACTGTGAAGTCGATCTTGTTTCTTGGATGTTTCTTGACTTGATTTGTCTTACACGCTCAGGATCCCCATGTTAACTGAAACAAGCTAATGCAATTTACCCTAAATAATTTAAATCTTGTAGACAAGTAGTTTAAACATTTTATAATTTCTTGCACTCGCAAAATAATCAGTTGATTTACTCGATGAAGTGTTTTCATCTTGTCATGATCCATAAGTTTCGAAAAATTAAACAATACCTGTGATCTCTGTAGGAGGAAGTCCATCTGTTGTAACTTTTGGATCTCAACGTCAGTCAGTTCTCTACCAAGTGATGTCGGTGGATATTGTTCTTCAATCTGTTCTTTAAAATGGTTTATTATATCCTCTCCGAATTGTTTAAATCCTGATAAAATTAACTGACCATCTTTCTCTTCTGTAAGTTCACACTTATATTCCCTTATTTGATCTCGATAATGTTCTCGAAGTTTACCTAGAAGGTAGATCAAACGCGTAAATTTATAATCCAATCCCCTCAAAATACAAATATTAATGTTAATTTTATATCAATATGGGCATTGTCAAGGTATTCTTGATGTTAACAGTGATATTAACTTCTGTATATCGAAAGACTACAACAAGAATAATACAACCAAAGGTCGACATTCGACTTGACCTAGGACTTCAACTTTATATTATCAACATAGTTTGATGAAATATTTGTATTTTTTTTTAACTTTTACGAACTTATACCTTGAATGCAATGGCCACTTTCTTGAATCGTGGTAGTAAGAATAGAGACTATTGTAGTACAAGTATAAGTACGAAGTTCATAATAAACTGACATTGTGAAGATGGTAGGACTAATAGTAATACTAATTATGTTAAACAGATCTGTGGGATGTGAGACTTCATTCAATATATATATAGGAGATCTAATCTGATACTCATAAAGATATCATTGTGCGGCCTACCTTTTAAAATGTCTAAAGATTCTATTTTCTCTGGTAACGTCTCACGATAACCTTCCAGAATCCTTTTATCTTTAACTTGTGACAGAAAACTACCATCCCGTAACATATATAATGCCTGAAAAAAAAACTTGTATGTTTATATGCCCTATGCTGTTGGCATGCAGTCTGATTAAAATTACACCAAACTTTCGTTACATTTTTCTATTTTTTATTTAGCCCCTTCAGTAAGGATCTAACAACACCCGTCTTGAACGTTCGTCAAATTAACCTTTTGACCTAACTCAATGACGTCTGCCTTAACCAATCAAATTTCTACCTTCTACAGCGCTGGCATTTTGTGACGCGGTGTTTATCAAGTAAGGTCAAAATACATAGTTACAATGTGACTGAAAAGGTTAATATGATTCTTAGGTGATCAGCAAAATATCTTGACAACTTAAAGCATGATTTCAGAAAAGGATTGCTTACGTGCTTATTGCGATCCCAGTAGGCACCAGTAAAGATTTCAAGGGCGGTAACTGACATGCCTGGTATCCATTTATATCTAATTTTTATATCTTCTGGTACATCAAGAGGGTCACAGACATAGCCATATCTTTCTGATAACATACATAGAAAATAGGGGAACTCATCCTCTTCTCGGCATCTGGAAAAGAAGGTTGCAAAGTTTAGAGATAGGATAGTTTAGTAGCTTTACATATAGTATTTGTGAAAAGTTTGGTTATTTGTGTAGGGTTGAGAACCCCAACACTCGAGAAGAACATTTTCGCCTTTCTCTACATATAAATCTTACTCACTATGGGCCGATCTGATTTCTAGAAAATACTTTTTGCAAGATACGTCATGTGGAAATGTTTTATATCAATATTTCTAAAATATTCTATTGTCGCTGTCCTTTTTAAATCTTCATCCTTTCACACGAATGACATTACCCATCTTCATTAGCTCACTCTGGTGCAGAAATCCCAAATTCAAATCCCCAAATCAATTTATATCATGTTTTTTTCAAACTGTTTTAACTACCAACCTGTCAATTTCAGATAAACAAGCCATTAAAGTTTCTCTGGTGTCAGAATCTTTAGGTACGCCCCATCTTAAATCACACTCTACCAGTTTAATCTTTCTTTCTTCACACCATAGTCTTAATGTAGGAATAATAGTCTTGATCAGGTATTCGCGTTCATTATTCATGTCTTTAAATGTACTACTGATAAATAATCGAACTGTCTTCCATCCCTTTCGCTGAAAACATCAATAAGGCCACTTATTAGGTTACAATAATAATACTTATCAGTGAGTCTTGGAGGGACAAACAACCAGTGTTACAAGGCTGACTCATTAGGTTCACAGGGTCTGGTCTTCAACCAAACCTCTTGACAATGATCTTTCCCTGATTATCCGTACCCATTTCCATCTGGGTTGACCGAAATTAAAAACCCACGACGGAAGCAAGTATAGAAAACGTCATGTGAGGATTTTGACGCTTTAACCGACTGTGGTACAGCCCGTCCTCCAAATGCTATGAAACTGTTTGTTAACTTACTGGGTGTTATAAATATATATATCATTGTCGTTAGAATTCAGAAAAATGATAGTTTGAAAGAGTTATAAACAAAGGCAGTTACAAGTATTAAACCTCTATTGGTAATAATGGTAAGAATTTAATTTCACATATATGGACATATCATATTATTGGTTATTAGGAAACAAGATAATCTTCCAATAATGAATAAAATTTTAGAATTTACAGGACGTGTGCAAGATGTCATCGTACCATTTTTGAAATGTTTTACACTGTATTATCGGCGGGTGTGCAAAAAGAGGTTAAAATTCAAATATTTGTCCCTTTCATTTTTTTCTTCTCTCAAAACAAAATGATTTCTTCGAGTATATACATGTTATGAATTCATAATAGTGTCATTATGTAAATAGGCTACTTTACCTGTGTTTGGGGGACAATTTTCATTGGTTTAGTGGCTATCAGATTATCTACGACCTCCCACCATTTTACATTATCCTCTCGTATTCCCAGGTTACACATCAATTCATGAAGATTCTTTACTTTCCATTCCTGAGTTGCAATTGTCTTTGGTGACTCGACATTTAAGGCGGATTCTGCTATCTGAGACGGTTTGTTGAGACTATTCATGTTTCGTTGTTTGTTGGTGGACGGTTGAGGTTTGGTTGGTATTGGTGAAGACTTTATTGCTGGTAAGGTTTCGCACTGAGGCTTTTTAGACGATCCACTTCCCATAACCTCGTAATGACTTTAGGCAAAACTAGGAAGGTAATGTCGTTGAATGTTTTACCTATGTTCTAAAATATCAGAAGTCGTTTATTATATGTTCATCGCCATCGTAGACGGGTACCAAATGTGTTAGACTTCGGAGGTTTGGGACTTATTATAGACATGTAGTGGAATTGGTTCAGATTTAATACAGGATATTATTTTCGTTTGAATGGATTTAAGATGGGGTTTAGACTCTGCTATCACATTGGCCTTAATGTAGTGTTTCAACTCAACTTTGATGTTTCAGACAACTTTGTTGTTTACACATTTAAGGCAAGCTTAGTATCCGACGGACATTGTGTGACTGCATTATACGTCCTTCTATATACTCAATCAATTTATAATGTACATTACTGTGTAGGCCATATACAACGTCAGTCAGCTGTGTCCAATAACCTGTATGGTATACGATATGGTAACGAATAACCTATTGTAATAGCTACTAACATATCGTATAGTAGTTCATTTGAAAACGCAAATAAAATCTTACATACCGTATTTTTAAAATGTCCTTCGCAAAAGGTGTTGTCAGCTCCCGATACAAATAAGTAAGCAACCGAAGACATACAAAATTAAAGTAAGAGTTAAATGTATACCGTGTTTATGGATCAATGGATAACATAGGTAACTATGGTAAACAATTACAAATACTAATATCATAATAATAATATACGGTATATTAGTCACGTGACTAATTAACTACCTTATAGTATTGTTAGTTAACTGTATTCATATAGTGGATCAAATTCTATTGTTTTTCTTTCAATGTATTGTTAAATATATCAACAGTTCTATTATATTAGTAATCATTAATGTTATGACTAGTAGCGGTATCGTGTACGGCGTCATACAACTTTGAGGTTACTTTTAAACCGTTTCTTCTCGTGTCCTCAATCTATCCTATTCGGTGACATGTGGGTTCTGAGTTGGATTCCGGCAAAAAACGGGATACATGTTATATTTTCGAAATTTGTCCTCAGTGGCCTACAGTATAGTTGCTTGCAACATTTCACTCGTTTGAACCCTCGACAGTTGTAGATCGACAAACAGTACGCTAACGCCAAAGGGCATACTGTAGCTCAATGCACATTGCATGGTGTTGTCTCTAACTCACTCAAGCAAAGTATGGCAAAATATGACGTTTAACTCTTGATCTCATAAGATATAAGCATTTTAAAACAAAGCACTAAATATTGTTCCATCTCATGGCAAAATAAGTCAGGTCGAAATATCATCAGTATGCAGCATAGCTCTTTGCAATTTTGTCATACGATAACCTAACCTAAGCGTTCAATGGCAGAGAATCAGCGATATTGCCGGCACACGTTACATATTATCAAGAAACAAAACAATCCCCGAAAATGGCGAATCTGCCCTTTAAGATATTTTATATTTGTAAACAAATTTTCGAAAAACGAAAATAGTCTTCTTAATGTTTAGTCACTTACAAAAGAGGGTATATCATGATGGAACACATATTATATATCCATACGGATTTTGATCTGTTTTCTATTCACTCTAGGAAATTTCATTTTACAATTTGTAAGGTGTAGCCAAAAGTAAAAAGGGGGATACATACCCATGACACAACTTTAAGATAAAATCTTGTATGTTTAAAGTAAATATAGCTTTACTTATTTGTATTTTAGTTTCTAGCACAATTTTCCTAATATTTGCCCTCTAATCTAATGAGTTTTGTTATTAAAATTACATGGTGACATAATCAACGTCAAAATTAATTGCAATATTTGATTGATATGTCTTTTAAGTACGTTCCGATGAAATTAACCTTAAGTACGCCTATTTATATAAAGATGCACCCATACATATTTATACATTCATTAAACTCTCAAGAGAAAGTGGATATGAAATTTCTGTTTAAAACTCATTACCTTAAAGGGGCTGTGGTGTAATGTGGATGTTACATACCTACATACAGTTTATGATGAATAATTGGAATTGTAATGTCTGATGAGAGTTATTTTATGCATGTTTTCTTATGAATGGAAGTGTATACAATAAGGGAATTTGTGAACATTTCTATTAGAAATGATGTAAGTACAGTTGAGAAGACACTGTTACGCAGACTCCAGAACACAATAATTCACCTTCCATTTCTATTCTACTGAAAATGGATTTAAAAGAAGACAATATAAAATACAAAGTGTTCTTTTTTATGTTTGTGCTTTTCTCAAATCTATGTGATATTGCGGTTGATTGGTTATTTTATGTGGATTTAAAGGAACTAGAGAAAGGTTTGGTGTTCGGACCAGTCGATTCCTCGCTCCTGTACGCCGTTGTCGCATTTGCAATCTTATCAACGTTCTTGAATATTATTGAAATTAGTATTAAAGGCTTACAGCTGTGGAATAGTGACTTTGGTAGAGGTATTAATGACATGTTGAGTTTGATTGTAATTTTCCTGGGAGAAATGCCTCTAGTTATAATGAATATTATCACTGCAGGTTGTCGAGAAGAGTCTCTGAGTATATTTCAACTTGCTAAAGCGTGTGTTATCCTGTCTGGAAATTTAATTCGGATTGTATTTTTCTTTGTCACAAATTGCAAGCATTGCATACAAAAGCTTGTAAATAGGAAATTATTTTGTTTATGTTTGATAGGATTGATTTTAAATTGCCTTGGATCCATTTCTATTTTTATTTTAACCCAAACACGACCGAGCTCAACACTTCTTCCACAATTAGAAACACCCACAAAACTGTTTGCAGAAATTGAAGAAAACCAAAAGTATTTCGGAGGAGTTAGTATATATTTTCAACATAGCGTTTTTCAAGATTTAGCTCCAAATCGAGACAATTTTATCCGACTCGTAAGAATAGACGACATCAGAAATAAATACAAAAAGAAGATTTTCATTAATTTTCAATTTAAAGATTCAAAACAACAACTTCAGATGGTTCTTAGTCGAAGAGTTGAACTTGGAACATGGGAAACTCCAGAACGTTTCGCGTTGAACAAAACGTCAAAAATCATTCATGTTGTAAATGGAAAATCCCAATTCAACTCTTATGATCAGTCTCTTACTTTTGCTTTTGATTTTATTCCACCAGAGGGGCTATTTCTGAAGCAATATGTGTTTGGAGAAATTGAATATAACGTAATGGTAGCAGATGGCCAATCTTGTTCCAGAGTTTCAGTTCCATTGTTCTACTTTCGTTCTGAAATGAGTGAAAAATCACACCTTGTAACAGAAATGAACAAGACCCCACGGTTTTATACCAATGGTGACCTGACTGATATATCTAAAGTATGGAAAACTGGATGGATGGAGTGTGATAGTACGGGATCTTTAAATCCCTCTTTAAACAGAACTTTGGACACTCCTTGTGTGAATTGGACTCATTAATCAAAACTGAGCTGCCGAGTGGAAGGAAAAGACAAAATGTCACTAATCAGTAAAATTCTATGTATACTGAGATTTTATATATTTATGCTTTTCTAAAACTAAGTTGTAGTATTTCATAATGCAAGCAATTGGCTCCATTATTTATTAAGATGTTTGCCAGCAAAAACTTAATTTTATTTTACGAATATCCCGTATCAAGGGTCAGGGTCAATGTAATATCAAAGTAGGTTATTCGGATCACAATAAATCTATATTTAAAACGTTTATTAATGCATCTCTATGTCCTACATGACTTGTTGGTCTGCATTTTACATATACAACATCTTGGCGTGAATTGCCTGTTGATGGTTTTATATCATTATAACCAACTTCAGAGCATGTTTTGCCATCCATGGTCAGTCCGGCATCGGACAAGGGCGAACAGGTTTCAGGGGGAACGGACCCGGATTTCTTAACTTTCAATCACCGATCTAGGAAATAGATTTATAGAATCAATGATAGCTTTTCTTGAACAACAGAACATTTCTTTATCACATTCTTTTCTTTCCGATTCAGATGATCTTTGTTGAAGCCGTTTTCATATTCTCTTTTGAGAAGATATATTCACTGCATTCAAGTTTCGTTCCCTGGGTGGTCTATTTTGTCAAGAATTTGGGACAGGATTTTCGAGGAGACGAAATAAAAGAAAAATGTTTATAAATCAGTTTTATTTAAGGACGACTAGATAGTTTTCAGATTGAAAGATATATCTGTGGTAAAATAGAATGTACAAAGTGAAAGTGGTTTATCACTGGGTGCAGGTCAATTTTGTTCTTCTCTTGTGTCCTCCAGATAGTATAATATTTGCAGTCATGGTAGATATTCTGTGAATAACAATTCATGCCGCTCTGCTAGGATTTCAAGACAATGAATGGCTGTTAAGCGCCCAATGATGAAACACAATCATGATAAATAATATATCACACAATATCCAATCACAAGAAACTTTATATATCTTATTTGATAATAAGTAACAAGGATCTAGGTTAAAAACACTCCAAACTTCGACGAAAAATAAATAAACTACTAAATAACAAACAGGAATTTGATACAACCTGCTATTTCCACTAAATACTAGACATCAATAGGTGTTCAAAATAATAAATAATACTAAAATTCAACAACATTATTCATATTGTACTGTTCAGTTAACTCTTGCTTCCGCATCGCGACCTCGTCTTCTAGCCCCTACTGCCCCGACTTATCTTAACTTTTATACCCTTTATTCATCGTTAGACAAAACATTCATACATAGCGGCTTGTACAGTCTAATAACTAAATAAGGGTACACATTCTAAGAAGGCTTACTTGGAATAAGTTTACAATTTTATCCAATCATGCCAGCTACCTTGACGTACCGAGTTATAGGAATTTATGTTCAAATATGTCACATGATTGAATAAATCGTTCACCATTAGAAAGGGACCATGAGCCATAGATTTCAGATCTGTCCTTCCTTAACCGAAAACCTTATTTGTCATTTCAAAGAGAATGTAACAAAAAAAGAATTCAACCCGGTTTTTCAGAATTATTTCAAAATTTGTATACATGCATATATATACAGAACTCTCTTTTTGATATATCGCATCGGAAGAAATACAACTTAAAATTAAAAACAGTGGAGAAATGAGATTATTACATAAAAAACTATTGCACTTTGCTCGTTACTCGAAATGATGCAAAATTCATCGAGATTTCGTTCAGAATCTTCCCTAACCAAAGCGAAAATTAAAAAAAACTATTTTAAACATGCTAAATATAGTAACACAGCAATAGCTTATAATCTTGTCAAAATATTCTAAAACGAAATTAAAACTTTGTATGATTATTGCCTTTTTAAAATTTACATCAGAAATCTCATTACTGAATCTTCTTCTTGAAGTGGAAGCAGCAAAAGCTCTTTTAGAATTAAACAAATTTTGATGTCATCGTCGATACTTAAAAGTCGGACACGCCCACTTCATCATCATAGGGTGTCTGAAACTGGTGTTGGTGGAACTGCGCTGGCTGCATGGATGGTTTCGGAGCAGGTGGTGGTGGGCCACCTCTCTGTCCACCACGATGAGGAGGCCCACTTTCCTCTTGGGCTACCATTCGAAATACAGCAGACTGGGTCCAATCTCGTTCACCAGAGATCGTTGGAGCTTTCTGGGAACCAGGCGATTTCTGGGTGACTTTAGCTGGCTTCATAGGCTTCATTGTTGGTTGTTTTCTGAAATATTGTTTAAAAGTTAGAATTAGTTAAAGACCCATGAAGAAATGTTTAAACATTAAACTTGTATATCAACTAAGACAGGCAGGTGGTTAAATATATATATATATGATATTATATACAATATCAACTATCTAATATAGAAATCTAGAAAAACATAATGCCAAAGCTTGATTCTGCTCCAGAAACTTAAAGTAGGTAACAAAATGTTTTGGTAGATGATTTCCAATGTATTCCAAAAGGTTTATATTGCGATCATTCTAGTCATTAAATTTCAAGATGCTTTCAATTCAAGATTTTAAGAAATGTTTGGCAATATGCATAGAATAAACGTCTTTGTCACGTTACTTTACAACATCAAGACATCAAGCAGTCAGGCAATAAGAAATTATATCTTAAATATTATTTTAAAATATTCGTCTCAAGTCTCAAGATGAGAAACTACAGTAGACAGCAAGAGGAAAGAGTCGACAGAGTATGCAAAGAAATACAGATACATCCTAATATATAACCCGAAACATGCTATGTTGTTGTAGCCATTAATGGCAGTGTGGAATAATCAAAGTCAGAAATAGCTATTTTGGTAAAATTTTCTCATTTCTGATTAAGAATCCATTTTGATTTATAGGTGAGCAAGGAACGAGGTTAGCATGTTTCGAGCTTTCGGAAAAGCCAGTATTAAGTTACAAGTATTGCAGAAAGAAAAGCTACAGCTTTAAGAAGTGTAACTACAAACCCTCTCCAATTTACGACAGCTAAGCAAAAATAGAAATGTTAAAATTGTTTTGAAATCAAATTTCCAAGATAAATTGTTCAATCTTCACGCCCAAAGAATTCTAAAGAATTACAACAAAAAGCAATGCTTAACATACCGTTAACAAACACCTTTAAAATAGGAACGTCCCGAGAAACAACTTCTTTTCTGACTAATCAGTTTGTGAAGCTGTTGTTGAATATTAAATGTAACGATAACTTAAAGAATTACACCAATATTTAGATGGCTAATATAGAACACATGAGTATTGCGATGAGCTTAGAGATCACATAGCTAATAGGTGGGAAAGAAAAGCGCATCTTAAGTACTTCAAAGCAACATTCTCGAAAAGCCTCAAATTTGAAATAACTGAAATAAAACACTCATGCTAAATATATTTCTTGTAATTTCTAGACAACATTATGTGTCAACTATTTATCTGGAAACTCATGTGTTCTAAACCCGCCATTAAATATATTAATGTTAAAGATTCTATAAGAGTTAGAAGGAAAAAAAGGGAGGGACGGAAGATTGAAAACAGTAAAATTTAAAAATTGGTTCTCACAACTTGATTTGTATGGTTTTGATATGCCTGGAAGAAAAGGGTAGACTTGTGAGATGGGTCAATTCTATCTACTGCTAAACATTCCATGCAACTAGCATGATAGCAAATGTATGTGGCACAAATCTCATTTGCAACTGGGATACTGAATCAACCAATCATTGATCCCTATTCCAATTTCAGTGGTATCTAGGATCTGGTGTAACGTATGCGCATTAAATCGCGCAATATTATAATAGTCGCTGCATTGCGTCTGTAATGCCACTTTTAATGCAATTATGAATAAATAAATCCTGACCATTACGAACCCCTACTACTTATAATAATATAATATAATCTATGACTCATTTTCTTTAAAATCAAGATGCTTTCAGCTTTTGTCTAATTTTAATAAGTTGTATAGCGTAAGCATAATCGATGGCTTTTGGTGAAAATTCCTAAGAACAACTCAATGATCAAGCCTTTTTTCCCACTGTGGATACATTGGCCTGAAGTCGTATGACTACAAATCGCCTTGTTTGTGTATTTTGATGATAAAAGATTAGTGACAATTTATTTTGATGGTGTTGCGAAATTTCCAAACTGAAAATGATGATAACTGAAAGCTCATAAGAATACTGAAGGGAATATGCGATGTACGCACAAGGGATATTTATACTGCACTATGGAGAAAGGAATAGGGAATGGTTGATTGGGGGAAGATTCACTGATGGATATATGAATATCTCTACCTAACCAACTATGCCTATATCTATACAACTTATTAACAATCAAGGTTGGCTAAGTGGCGGTCAAATTTTCTAACTACAAGCTAGTTCAACACGACTGCTCTAGATTATTGCCAACTTACGAGACCATTTGCGCTGCTTTAAGTCTTGATTGGCTGTCTATTGTTTCTTGCACTTTATCATTCGAATATAAACCCATTGGCGAATTATACTGTAAATGAACAACATTAGGATCGGTGCCCTCATTATAAGTATTGTTTGAAGTAGCGTGGGGTTGTGCCGATGTTGGTGGATCATAAGGAACCAACCTTGGCGCTTCATGAACTTCAGGTGCTGGTTGACGAGAACCATAATCCAAATCTTCTTCCCATGGCTTAACTCCAGAAGTTTTCAAGGTATTTCTCCAGACTGGAACTGTGGGCTCCCCATCTTCGTAAGGTGAAGGTGTATAGCTTGTGGCATCAGGTTGACTAGAAGTTCGTTGATGGTGGTGGTGTGGTTGAGAATGTGGTTGAGGCTTCCAAACACCACTATGTGGACGCTCCTGTCTATAATCAATACCAACTTTAGAATAATCTGTACCAACAACAGGACCAGTTGGTTTTCTAAATTTCGGTGGTGGTCTCTTTGGCTTAATAGGTCTTGCCTCTTGAAAAAATAAAGCATTAAAATCATTAATATTGTAATGAGACAAAATATCACAGAATTGTTATTAAAATGAAAATACGACAGATTTGAACACGTTAATTGAGAGTCACAGATACAGTAAAGTTTGCCGAGAAAAAATAAAATAAAAGCTCTTGAGATAAGAAAGATTCAAATGAAATGAAAAATAACAATAAAGATATAAACGAAGAACAGAACCAGGAGTTGTGAAGGGAGGTAATTCAAACTAAACACACGGCACACAATAATATCAGAAACAGTTGACAATACAAGAATTCATTATAAATATCAATATTATGATCATATTGTATATTATAACAGGATATTTCTGTCCCTATGTCGCTAAAACTTTTACAAGACGGAAATCAATGATTGAAAACACTATCGAATCAGAGAGGGATTGTAATCGTGTCGCAGTATCATTGGAAATGAAATGAAATGCATGGAGTTTTACGTCCTACCAGTATCATTGGAGATGATGGGTAAAATGTTAGTTGGAAAACTATATGCAGAATGGAATTGTCAAAGGTAAGAGGTTTATTTATTTCACATATTCTTAATATGTATATTCTCCGACACAAGCAAGATAGGTCTGGTTAAGATGTAATATAAATATCGGAGTAAATATTGGTTGAAATTTGTAAGTGTGAAATGCTTTAAGCATGGAATAGGTTGTGACAGGTAAATCAACTACAGTGTGTTTGGATGAAGAGACTATACCGTCAGTAGCCCCTGATGAGCTCGTTGCATCTGAAAGCAAGTTAAGTGGAATATTGTCGTTAATAATTTTAACTGCTTAATAGGATTAATGATTGAACCGTTTATTAATAGAACAAATTTTAAATTCTACCTAGATCTAAATTAATAATATTAGAAAATCGTAATTGTGAACGAATTAAAAGTCTATTATTTTTTCAAAGAATAATCTACGTTTTGTTATTTTTGTGCAGATATGGAATGATACTGACCACCTAAATAGGACAATATAAAATATAATAAGACAAGAGTTATGGCGACCAACATACAGATTGTGAAATATATACATACAATATATACATATACTAATAGAAGGTCCATATGTTCGCAAGGAGAAGACAATGGTTTGTGTCATTGTGAGAGTGCAAAGGAATAGAACTGGATACCTATAAATATGGAAATTCACGGCGGCGAGCAATATTCATCTACGAGTATATAACTAAGGTGACAGGGCGGAAGGTCCACTAGCTAAAGTTCAAGAAGCACCCAAGTATTACCTGTGTTCAGCGAAAATTATAGAAAACAACACACACAGTGTATAAGAACATACATAACATATAATCTAAAATAAATTCTAATATCTTCATGTTTTGTAGCAAGAAAAATATTCAGTATACAAAAAGAGTAAGACAGATCATGTTGATATCTTTTTGGAAAGCAGTCGAACTGTTAAACATTATCATTATTCTCGAAAGGTTTTGAATTTAGTATTTAGTGGCTAATCATAAAATCGTACAACCTCATTTAAACACTTTAGATGACACCAAAAGATCACAAGCAGATAACAGTGGAGGAGACTAAGCGCATGTAAAGGGGTCATTCATCATAAATTAATTCATTGTTATTTTGTTTTCTTTTTTTATATGATACTTTTCCAGTTATTTATTTCGAGAATAAAGATACATATAACGACTTGAACTTTTTCTATAATTTCAGATAATTGGCAATAATGTTTTCGATTAAAATAGAATTATAACATATAGAATAAAACATGAAGATACCTAAAGGAACTAAAGCCTACCATGCGCATAAGAGGATGGTCCCGTGAATGCCTGTCTTCTCTCCCACACAGGGATTTTATTTTCTTCATCTTCCGGATCTACTTGTTCCAGTCTCTCGGCAGTAGATTGGTAACCATATTTATGACGAGGGGGTTGTATTGGATCATAGGCGGGGGCTGACTGATCAGCATATTCACCTTGTAATTCTTTCATTCTGTCCAATCTCTCACCTGTCGACATGTATTGTTGTTGGGGCTCTTGATATTGGGGTGGGTTGTAGGGATCGTATGCCTGATAGAAAGGAGCTTGAGACGGTGAAGCTTCTGGTGTACGTGGAGAAAGAATGATATTATCCAAACTTCCCTGTACTTTATTTAGCATATTATATTGTTCGACTGGTCTATAATTTCCACTTTGTGTTGGCATTGATGCTGGAGTACCGCCAAACTCAGCTCCGAAAGTAGGACCTCCGCCTCCATATTTACTCACAGTAACTTTCTTTGGTTGGTGTCCATATGGTCGTGGTTGCGGCATCTGTGGTTTCTGTTCCGGAGAAGGATCAAAATTCTATATAAATAAGGATACAGAAAAGGATCGTTATGAGGGGGTTAGTGAGGTTATATTGTATTAGTAATGGAAGGTAAGGCAGGTACTCTTACAATGAAGCTATGATGTATGAGTTTATGTGTGCTATTATAATTGCTTAAGCGGAGGCAGCAAGGTATCTTTTTAAATGCAGGAATTGGTAAAACGGTAGGACGGATATGATATAGTATATAAATAATATTTGGTGGAAGGAGATTAAAATTAAACATTATATTTTATTCATTAATAAATAAAATTTTATTCTCAGAGCAATTAAAGTTTTAAAAAAAAGATGCTTAATTAAGTTAAAGAAATCAATTTACTGCCTGATGAATTGAAACTAAGATATTCTAGCGTACCTGTTGTGGCGCTCGTGTACTAACTGGAGTGATATTCTGTGGTACAATACCAATGTTCACGTTACCCGATGGTCTGAAATAGAGTCATACATACATTTCACACACAATATGTCCAATCTTAAATAAGGGTGAACAAGAAAATAATTATTTCATCACAAAAAAATCGTTTTTGATTCCCAAAAACGTCCTGCATGAAATCGCGTTAGAAATCAACTGTCAACCTTAAATACATGTAGTCCTCAAAAACTGTTAAAAAACTTGTGACATAAAATAAAAGGCAATCTAACAAAATGGTACTGCTTAAAGCGTTAAGGGAGATGGAATGAATGTTTAAAATTATAGTACCTGGTTACAGCTAGTTCGATCTGTCCCCCGCCGTGCTTAAGTGAGTCCTGGGCTTGTTTATGACTTAGGTCTACCCCTCTCTTTATACCAATGGAATCGATAATGTCACCTCTCTGGAGTTGACCTTCTGCTGGACTGTTACAAAACACCTGGAATGATAAACAATGACCATTTATTTAATCATCTTTGTATTGGCCAACTGATTGGACTACGGCGATCAGTTTAATATCTTAACAATGAAAATCTCACAGCTGGCTAGTCTACAATCTAAACTCAGCATATTGTTGACAGAGAAGGGTTCAGAGCATTTTAACAACATATAGGGGACATATTTGCATGATAAATAATTGATGTGTAACACTGAGTTATCATCAGATGAGTCAACATTTTGACCAAACTAAACTTTCGCCACCACTCATGTTAGGCATCAATATGAATAAACACGAATCCACCACTCAGAAAGAAACAACCCAAGAAACATCTGATATGATAACGGAAACAAGAGATCAACTATGAGTCTATTTTCACTATAGATTCTATCTTAGAATAAACAGCTCTCTCTACATCTTCTATTAATGACTTGAAAACAATTCAACAGTTTTGACAAGTTTCCAACTTATCAATGTGGAATATATGTTCTCCTACCGGTATATCAACATATATTCGTTTCTTTTCCCAATAATCTGAGTTAGTGATTTTGATGGAATTTAACAAACCTTGGCTTAATTAGACGATTTCAAACTTCGCAAAATTCTTATAATAGAACTCGACTCCAAAAATAAACCATTAAATGATAAAGCTGAGAAATCGAAAATAGCACAATCATCAATAATGTTCTTTTACTAACAATTCTTAATCTTTAAGACTTTATCTGTAGAGTTAACCGCCTGGATGTGGCATTCGATTACATGACAACTTATTGAGTGGAAGCAAATGAATGTCACACAAGAAAGACACCAACAAGTTTTAGAGTTTTGTTTATCTTTTTGGAACTGAATTTTGGTTGTGTCAGAATCTCTCATTTAAGACTTTTCAACTGCTCGCCTTATGATTTGGCCTACAAAGGCTTCCATAAATCAGTAGAATGTTCAATGTTTATGGTCAGTGCTGAAAGTGATATTATCTGTTTATGACTTCAATCTGTTGATACTGTAATTCCACATGAATTCCACCCATACTAATAATCATTAATATCAAACAAACTACTTTCAGTTCGACGCTTGATTGCAAATTCCAGACATTAAGAAAACATGAATGGTTCCTGGGGCTTCTGATTAAGATATGCCTCTGGTAATGTTGTTTCAGAAATCTAATGGGTTTGGTTTAGTACACTGAATCGGGGTAAAAGAACACCGGATTTGTCAGTATGACCACATTGACATAGACCGGCTCTGAAAATTACATCATGTTAATATGGCTTGGCTATCGACCAGATCACATAATGTATACAGTGCTATATGAACTTGGCAAAGGCGTTTCTTGAACAATAAACATTAAGTCAGCTATTTTTGCTTTAAGTCAAAGATGATCCGTTTATCCCAGTGAAAATGATTGAGGAATTCTTACAAACATGATTTAAAGAAAAAAGAAAGCGTTATCTACATTATCTTTATTGTGTCATTCATTTGTTAGAATTCTGCTTCAGATAATTAACTTCTCTTGATTGAGAAACAAAAGGTGTCCAACTGTTCTAATGACGAAGCAATACACTAAGAACATTTGTACAATAGTTGAAAGAAACAAGACGGTCTGTGGAATTTGAATGGCACCCTAAAACAAATTGTTAATCACATTACTAAACTAATGCTGATAAAGTCCATGAATCAATACACGAGATATTCTACAAAAACTTACATTTCAACATGACAATAAAAAAATAAGGGATAGCGCCCTTATACAAAAATTTTAGAAGTTTGTGCACCATGTCTCTCTCTATAAATACATGTATTCCAATTACAAATAAATGATACATGGAGTTTAAATTAGACGATAGCCATAGAAAATGATGCACTAGAAATAACCTATACACTAAACAATAAAAAGTCATGACACTTACCTTGAAACGAAATTTTTTATCAGTAGTATTATATATAGAGCTATGTAATTATATACATTGTACTTACCTTACGCCAGCTATAAATATTTTCAAGACCCACCTTTCTTACAGAAATATATTCCTTTACCCACTGATAAATCACATTATCTCAATAATAAATCCTAATTGATACACACTTAAAATTCTAATGTTATCACCTGAAATTCCAAAGAGTTCCAAAATCTGTCAGGTTACCGGTACTTGCAGTTACCAATTCTCTTGTGCACAAGGTAGAAAATAAACACGTCACTATGGCAACTGTATATTTGTGGTATAAGTATGAAGATTTGTTGAGGTACTGATAAGTTGTTAACATTAACAATGACAGTACTTGTGCTACTTTTACTTCATTATTATATTACATAGACCTATTGGTCTGTTTAACCTTTCATCACTAAATTGCAAACAAATTCTTAAAGCAAGTTAATTGATAAATTTACATAGAAGTCAAGTCTAAACTGCTTGAATCCTGTAAATTAACTAATAATAAGTAATGATAAGAACCTTTACTGCCACTTTCTGTTTCAGATTTTATAAATTAGCAAATGGATTACTATGTACTATGTATTGATAACCGTGTCTTTTCCCAACGAGAGTAACCTGCTATCAAAAAGAAAACGTTGATAATTCAGATAATTTGGATACATTTTTTAACTCTCAATAATTATTTTGATCAATTAATTAATTATGAACTTTGTAATTACATTATTAAGTAATAAATAATAAAAGATTTATAAAATATTACAAGAGATATTATATAAAGATTGTTTACCTATTACTACCTGACGAGATGAGTGGGTGAAACATTTGGCAGCGGAGTAAGGCAGGGAGATCATATTTCACCCTTCCTTTTCAGTTAACACGCTACTGACTTTCACTTTCTATAAACAACTCGTACCAGCTCTTAACTTTACATTCAATTTATCTCAAATATTGATTAGATATGTCTTAATGAACTTAATCAGCAATTTTAAACTTCCTAGGGATGATGCATATTTGGATGGTATCCAGGATTTGAGAAATGCATGAAAGACATTTTCAGTTTCTAATTAAACAAAATTATAAACTGAAACTTTGAGACAAATGTCCTCTTTATACAATTCTAAACAAGATTTTCATGGAATGCTAAAATGAAAGGGAAGCATAAATTGTAGGAAGATACGCTAAACATGTTAATCTTAACATCACGATTGGCTAACTTCCAACTCTGAAACCATATCTCATCTTATTCAAGGTCAGACGAAGGTAAGGGTGAGAACAAAATATCAGTAATCAGGCTGATTGATCGAGCGTGAAACATCCAATTACTTTAATTAATAATAACCCTTCAACTCAATTTCCGGATTTGAAAGTGATCCAACATCCAGACAGGCAATACTGGATATGGATTGAAAAATGCAAATAGTAAGAAAACTACTTCCGGTCAAAGAAAACAAACTCCTATGACCTAGAAAAAACATTTCAATCAAAAGTTCACCACGTGTTTTATGTTAGATGTTAGCCAGAATAAGCCAGTCAGTATATATAGTAAGAATAGATAATAAATATCAGACGGACTGTTTGATCGTGATGCCATAATATCTCAATAACTTCAACCATATCTAGTCATCATATTGTGGATAATATATTATATGAATATATTGAATACGTTGAAGTACATTATTCAGATGACGGATGCAATTATAGCTGACACATTTCCATTCCACACAATTTCAACTGGCATGACGGCATGACGTAATAATGACGTATATCACATACACGCTGATTTTATCAGAAACACAAAACATACAATGATGATATCTTAACAAAACATTCAAAGATAAAAGGAAAAAGCTTACGATTGGTTTATCGAGTCCTAGAAAATGTCTCATAGTCACAGCATTTGGTATCGCCATTGTATCGAAAGTGATACCTTTGTATTTCACAGTTGCCCACGAGTAACTTCCCTTTGAAGAATCTCTGCACCCTTCACCTTAGTTTGTACACGTTTTGTAGATATCCCATGTCGAATATAGTAACACTATGCGTAAAGAGCATGCTAGATCTAGGTAGACTAGGCCTATAGCTTTGTTACTATAACACTCAAAGTAACCGATGCCATCTGTATTCTGTTTATTAACACTAACACCAAAACACTAACACTATCAAAATTACTTAATGATGCTTTCTGTATATCCCATTAACTCGTTCTGCTCTATGTTACATCAATAATTTGGCAGATTCAACGAAACATCATTATTTTTCATAAACGTATCTTGAAATTATCTGAGAGACCACTTCATGCTGAATTTAATCGTCAATTTACGAGAAATATAAATCTATCTACAGTTGAAGATAGCAAAGATAACGAGTACCACAGCAAGAAAGAAGTAGAAATGTTCAGAACGAACAGTTTCATATGGTTTTCATTATGAAAAAACGGAAACTTCATAATCAAAAGGATTACTTCTCATTTTTAACAAATTTTTTACTTCTAATGGCGTAAGTCTTTTGTGACTTTGTATTCGAACTTTCTTTAGATCAGCTGGTATTTTGTAAAAATGCAAATAGTTACATTCAGAGTCAAAGTAACAAGTGATGGGGGTATCGCCAAACAGTGTGCTTACTAATAATGCTATCGTTGAAATGTGGCTGTGTTCTTGACAGTCTAGATGTAGGTTGTTGTTCTGATTGTATCGAAAGTGATTAAAGAGAAGTTTTCTATAGTCTATGTATGTGCATCGCAGAAGTTTAAGGTTTCCATTTGTATCATTCTAATTATCTTTGGATGTGATCCTGTATCAATAACAATGACGAGATTAGAACGGTGTGAATAGTTCGCCATGTAAAAGAAATGATTATTTATTCTTGAATTGTAAGAAATTCATTAAAACAGGGAATAGGAATGGTTCCAACAAAAACTTTAATCAAAGATTTATATTACCGACACAAGACTTCACTGAAAACAATATCAATATCATATCGATACACTTCATGGTAGTATTTGTGTCACATTCAGATGGTAGGGTCTTTATAAGTAACAAATTAAAAACAACTTATC